GGTCACCAGCTTTGGACTGAGCCACACGAGCTGAGTGTGCGTATCTCACAAACCCTCGCTGAGAGGCCAAATACAGTCACAGTAATTCATTTTTAATTGTACCGCTAATCTATTTGGTGTTTAATTAAAAGGCAGTGCATTGCTGGCTTATCTCAGAGCCGTGATTTAAGGCAGAGTGGAAGACAGCAGAAAAGGTAAAATCCTCTCCACAGTTGATGATACACTCAGCTGAGCGTGTCATTACATGCTGGGGCGGCTGAGCAATGCTGCGCAGACAGGAAAACAGTCATATGGCTTACAGCGTAATGCAGACAATTTGCTCACCTGTGTGCTCCTAATAACCTGCACATGCTACATAACAAACAGCACGTATGTTGCACACAGCAGGAGGCCGAGTGCAGAGGATTAGCTGTGACCTGTGTGGAGTGAGACAGAAACACCACAGCTGTCTTTGTCTTGATCTTAATTTTAGAATTACATTTCTATTAAATCGTGTTTCAAACATGTGAAACTCTTATAATCTTATTAACTGAAGCCACACCCAACCCGTGTCCATAGATGAGGCAGGGTTTCTTATCATGCACTAATCATCTACAGAAATCAAAGAATGACTGACTTGCATTTAAGCATGTAAGCTTTTAAACACAGATTTATTCTAAAAAAGCCACTAACCCAAACACAGAGACCAATCAAAAATGTGCGACGCTGAGAGCTTGGCAAGAGGTTTGCAGCCGAGTCTTCTAGTGCGCACTTAAAGACAAGTGGCATTCCACACACAGGCTGAAAGTCATAAACAAAGCCTCGGGGGGGCGGGTGCTGGGAGACAGGCGCTACGGGTGTCTGAGCTTTGCTCTGCAGCTCTGGGCAGAGCATCCTTCTGTTCGGATTACTGAACACAAGATCCCAGGCCTGCAAAGAGAGGCCCAGCAGTCTTAACAAAGTACTTGAAGATGTTTGTGAGGACGTTCAGGGCGCTGCAGCTCTTCATGATCAGAATTCAAGAGTAACAGCAGAGTTAAAAGGATGCTTCTGCTTCTCACATAGGTCACTCTCATTAACACACTTTCAACACAGCTTACTTATACTTTGAACCACACGGTAAAAAAATAAAGCGATGAGCATCCAGTAGAGCACCGGGGCTCACACAGTATGTGGGCCTCAACAACACCACCCACTCCAACCACAAACTTGGAGTCCTGACTGCTGGCAAGTTGAAAGCTCAGATCAGATCTGGGACCGAAGGAAATCCACAGGCACATATATCACTACCACAGTAAAGCAAGCAGTCCTCCCTACTGCTCACATGGCCCACCGTTTACTCCTCTCCAATGAATACAACCTCTCCTCACAGCACTGCAGGATAAAACCCATACAGAACACAAGAAGATAAGTCTGGTCCCCGTCAGCTACTACTTATAATTATAATGCAGCGGCGGTCGATTGTAGGGAGTACACTTCAATAATCAGATGCACGGGGCCGCAGGACTTTCATCTGATTACAGACGTGATTTATTGGGCTTGCCATAATGATGCATCACCCCACCATACAGTATGTATGAAGCGGTCTTTTGCAGGCAGATTCTGTTTTTAATAATACAAACAGCAAACACTGACATGACTCTGCCAGCCTGGGAATCACTCAGCAAAATAAAAGACTGCATTATGTTTCAAACGTGGTGTCCATTTGAAGACAGAGACCGTAAAGTCTTGGCTGTCACTCGTAACTGGTCTCCACCCACCCAGCGAGCCACACCAAAGCTCCGAGAAGCCAACATGTCACCAGAAACACACTATTTAGTGAGCGGTGATGAGCAGCCACTCTAAGGCGTTTTTGTTAACTGGCTGGATTTCAGCTCTGAAGGAATTTTAATGTGAATAGAGCAGCTCAATCAGATTACAATAAATGACCACAGGAAACCACGCCACTCCTGATCATCAGTGGGCTATGCATGGACTTGAAAAGGGTGGAAACAGTTCCCAAAGCCAAGAATATGAGTGACTCTTAGCTTTACTCATCCCTGGGCAGAGTCCTGAGCTACAGCTCATCTCACAGAGGACGGTGCTATCGCACAAAGGAAGGTAAAGCTCCCTAACAAGCCAGCGCTGTGTCAGTTTCTCTCGTCCACCTGCACAAGAGCAGCGGCCTTTCTTTCCCAGCTGTTGGCGAGCTATGCTGCTAATCCACGTCCCGTCTCGGTGGATGTTTGGCCGAGTTGTGGGTGGACAGTGACTCCATTAACTGCCTTTCGAAAAATGAATGGTATGCTCCTCTGCACGACCATTGTGTGCTCTGGCACCCCCGAGCTCAGTCACGGTAAACAGTAGCTGCTATTGGCAAAGCGGCGCTACAGGCTGCCCTGTCACAGTTACTTAACTAATTCCTGGTATTTCTCCATTAAAACGCACCTGTGTTCACAGACTGCTCCGAGCACAAGTGAGGACACTGAAGTCTGTGCTCTGTGTTCTCATGTTTGTGGCAAAGCTGGCTGTGATCTATAAAAGCATCTTCATAAAGGATTCTACGTGATGTACACGACATTAAGTGACAGCAGGCAGTTTAAGCACAGTAAAAACAGCCCACACTGGTGGAGCTATTAAGCATCTGTATTTACAGGCAGGCCTCTCCAGTTATTTGCCAAACAAATTACCAGCGGAGACTCTTGTGTGCAAGCATGTGCATGTGTGAGCCTTTCTTCCACCTCACCCTCGTCCTGGCTGAATGAACTGGACATGCACGACACTGGACAATACAAGCAGTGATCAAAGCATTCTTTGTATTTCTAACCATCATTGGAGATCTACCAAACCTCGGAGGGTTCCTTGAGGAACTTGACTTTTGTAGTGCAGATAGGCACCTACTAAACCTACCAAAGGCCAAACAGATGAATTAAACTGAGGTTTCACAGCCTGCTCAGACCAATCTTCCACTTGGCTGAAGCTGTGCAGGGCTTTGGCTGAGGAATGCTATGCATGACTACTTGGATCTGCAGCTCTGATTTATCCAGTTATGAATGATTTTTCGGAGTGTCAACTCCACGGGTGGTGCAGTGTTTTCAGTCCACATTTTTGTGTTCATAAAGCTGTTTGTTATCAGTTCTCTCAACCTCATCAAATCAGTCTTAAAACAGCAGTAAGATCAAAGTAAGAAGAAGAAACGTATGAAAATGTTACACGGCAGCTCAGAAACTTGGTGAATTCTTAAACAAACACAGAAAAGAGTTTGTTGATGTAATTCTTGTTCTTAAAGCAGATCGTTTCCGGATTAGGGTGCACTAATTGGCATAAATGCGCATAAAAGGCGCATTAGTGACTGTGTTATTGCAGGTATCTGACAGGGTTTGGGATCTTCTCCGTGGAAACTGACACGCCACGTTATAGCCAACATCTTTCTGCTTCAGGCTGACATCACTGCTCACTTCACCTCACAGTTATCGGGACACATTTGTCAGGGTTATTCAGAACTTTGTAAAAAACCTACAAATGACCTCAACTTACCGTTCTGTGACGTGCTCCCAGGTGAATGACGTAATCCTTTCACAGCAAGCGTTAAACGCAAAACATTTCAGACTCCCGCACAACTTCAAACCTATCAAAACATCCACTTCTCGTCCTTTTTACTTCTCTCCCTTCGGTGCAAGCTGACTTCATCCATGAAAACCCTCTCACCCCCCGTCTCAGATGCTGATTGGCCACCACAGCGCCACTAAGGGCTCTGATTGGCTGCGTAGAACGCCAATCAAACCTCCGCCGTCTTCTCCGGATTTTATGGGAAAGAAGTTCGAGCAAAGCGGACACGTGACGTGTGAGGTGGCTCCCTCCTCACAGCTGTCCGGAGATGATGTTGAAGGAAGTTTTTAGCTTATCCGTTAAAACCTGAACCGAAAACAACGAAGGAGGGATTTTTGTCCCCGGGAGGCACCTATGTCCACGCTGATGAAGAGGCTGGACTGCTGCTTCACGCGTGATTTACAGGAGCAGACACAAAGTTAGAATAACGAACTCTGAGCCTTTAACGCTGAAACTTTCACTTTTTTTTTTAAGGACACAATGTTTTTAAGCATTTTTTTTATAGATCCTTAAAAAATCTTGAATAATTTCTCGTTTCTCTGACGGAGCTTTTTGTTTTCATGTCTTCACTTTAAAATTAAGTATCGCAATAAGCAAAGTGACTCTTCAGACTGTAACAGATCTGTGTACGAGATAAACCTGCTGCAGCCCTGTGCTGCTGTTCAGGGGGAAATCATCCTTAAATATGCAAGAATGTGCTGACGGTTTATAGCAATGTTGAAAAAGAAATCAATTGAAAACTGGAGGTAATTATTCCCATTGCGCCACCTACAGGCAGATCCTCTGTTGCACATCTTACAGTCTAAGCTAAGCCCACCTCTTTCATTCTCCTCCCCCCTCAGCTCACACTGAGCTTCCCACCCGAAATGTAAGAGGGGGAAGGAACAGCCCTACAATAAAATCAGACATCCTCCCCTTTGAGCAAACATGTTGAATGGCTGCCAGTTAAATGTCACAGCTGCAGCATCTGTCTATCAATTTTGTTTAAAGCCTACATTACAGGTCCTTCAGTGCAACGTCACCCTCTGCTCTCCAGACCTGTGTGAACATGCCCCACTTACATGAATTTCTGGGTCACATGCAGGAGCATGGTGACAGGAGAAAAAAAAAAAAAAAAAACAGAAGAAAGAGACACAATAACCAAGGAAACACTTTATTTTGAAACTCGGTAGTTTAAATGAATGCACAGTCCAACATAGATAACACAGAAGCTGTTAGTATATGGCACTGAATCAACAGGACATCTGTCCCACAGTAGTTCCCTAATTTTACAATCTAAACCTAACATGATCAGATTTATTTAAAGTGAGATCAGAGCTACAGCTAAAACAACATTTCACTCTTTACGAAGATTAAATTACTGAAGGTGTGAAAAGCAGAAAAGTTTTAATCTATTGGACTGAGGCTTCGAAGCGTTTTCCACTTTATTTAACACACAGGCAGCTTTTGTGCAGGCCGAGCCAAAGGTGTTAATGTGCACGCTGTAGAAAAAAAATTACAACTACGTGCACAATTAAAATGTCTTAAAAAATTACTGAATGTAACACATGATTCTGTTTCCCATGTACAATAACAACACAGGGCTATTCTGTTAATGAGAACTAAAAGCAGAGCTGTTAAAGTGGGATATTGTGGAGAAGTTGAACATTTGCAGCGAAAGACAAATAAAACCTTTCCTATGGTTTAAATACAGGAACACACACAATCGCCATTAGTATGTTTTTATAAAAATCCCACACACATAAAATAAAACTCAGTGGATTTTAGAATACACCATAAATAAAGATGGGCTGCAGGGCTGCACCAGTTTAAACCACAATTATCAGGGTCAGAGGTTTGCTTAGTGTAAGCACTAGTTCAGTATTTTTTCAGCACAGTTAAGCCTTTGTGAAGCGGACTGCTGTGACTCAGTGTAACTCCGCCATGATACATGCTTGTTTCTCTGCTGATGCAGTCCAAACACACCAATCTGATCAACACTTCGTATCTAATAACTTCAATGAGTAAACCTATGAGAGGTCATCCTCAAACATGATCCAGTTTTACCCCACTCAGGCAGCAGAGCTGTGTAACAAAGGGTCCACTCTGGAGTTCACAGTGCTTTGATTTAGAGACACTTCACGCTCACCTCACACTTCCCTAAACAGATGGAGCAAATTTCACTGTCAATATGTACACAATAGAAACAGCTGTGGGCCGACAACATCTACTCCCAACTCATATTTGAGTCCAGTTTAATTCTGGTCTTTATCTCAAAGCAGATTTTGCTTATTAAAGCTTTTGTTGATCTTAAACTTACTGATTTTTAATGCAGGAGCTGCTCTCATACATATTTTATACTGAAAAAAAGTAATTTATTACTTTAAAAGTGGATACTTGCAACACTTGTTAAAAGGTGTGAAATCGCACCATTGCCAACTCTTTGCTGCATCGATAATACTTGTGTGTATAATGAACCACAAAGTCCTGTTATGAGCCTGGAAAAACCCAGACAGTAATACCAGAGTCCTGAAATAAAACGAAATCGAAATAAAAGCTGTGCAGTGAAAGATTCTGTTTCACACTCTGTTGTGATCATATGTAAACCTTTGTCAGGAGCCAAGTCTCTTTATGCCCTTTTTCCACTAGCACCTACACAACTCAATTACTTAGTTTAAAGGGTTTCCATTAGGTGAGTTTGTGAGGAGCTGAGTCAGACCAAAAATGTGACATTGGGAGACTTCATGCCACCGATTGGCCAGGGAGTGATGTCACTGGATGAGTTATGAGAGCGACTCCTTCACAAGAATCAAATTTGCCATTTTTCAAACCCAACAACGAAGGAAATGGAGACACAAACTTCTTTTACCCAAAGTCTGACAAGAAAACGCAGACTGGGACTTTCTGCCCACCTTGCTATGATGACCCCGCCCACATTGAGGTACTACCCAATTGTAAAAACTGAGTAGAGTTGAGCTGAGGTGGTGCTAGAGGAAAAGATGCGTTACAGAACAAAGGACTAGAGAGCCCAAGGGGCTTAAAAAGAAGTCCCAGTCTAACAAACGTAGAATTTAAAACAAGCATCCATCAAAAGTCAGCTCCCACTCAGTCTCAAATAATAAAATAAAAAGCCATAACTGAAACAGGAAACGACACCGATGATACTCCTTAACTGGCATGAGGTTTTCCAGAAGCCTCAGGCTGACCGTCGGTGGTGCCGTTTAGTGGGATCGCCTTGTTGCCAAAGTTCCAGTCCACAGGATTAAGAAGCTGCATTGTCTTCTTGTGGGTCCATATGGGGTTGAGGATAAGTGTGAGCAGAGTGAGGCCGGTGAAGAAGAGTATTAGCGGGGGCAGGGGCGCATGGGTCCACAGCTCCACCCGGTGGATCAAGGTTACCCACCACATGTAGTAAGTGAGTACCATTCGACAGTGAAACATGTGAATCATCACCCACTGGTTGGCTTTCCAGAACAGAGTGCATGCCCAGCCAGCCTGTCAGGGGAGACACAATCTGTCAGACACCTTCTCTTTACTTCACATTCATGCTAAATCTGTTCACTAAACCAGTGAGCAGAAGGAACAGAGAAAACTGTGGTTAGTGCTTCAGGTTTTTGTTGTTTTTAAAAGGGAACTTCCTCTTTCTAAGAACGTTCTGGTACAGTGAAGATAATCACAAGGTGCACAAGACCCAGGAGGAAGCAAAACTTACAAGTCAAGAAAAAGGTCAAAAGATGCTACAGAAAGCCGGGCCTGGACTTACCAAAGATTACGTACAAATACAAGTCCGGAGAATGAGATGAAAGGTACGTGCATGCTTACCTTCAGCAGCATCCAGGATATACAGGTGAATGGCGTGCTCATCTCCAGCAGGAGGGTGACCATGGGCAGGAAGTGGCCCAGGGAATCCCACACCACCGCCCCCACGTATCCCGACAGGGCGAAGAAATGGTGCGTGGCCAGTGGGAGGTCGAATGACCAAAACACCACACTGGAGGCGTGAAGTGCAACATTCTCAAATGCAAAAAAGCCTGTGGCTGTGAGCACGTTAAACCATGACCAGTCTTCCTGGCCCCTCACTTTGTCTTTGGTGATTGAGGAGTCTTCAGTGAGGGCCCGGAGACCGGCTACTGTACTCTGGATCCCAAACACTGCCCGGGTGGCAGCAAGGTTCCAAAAAACCTTTTCTTTGGCCAGCAGGGACTTGTAGGTCTGGCACAGAGACACAGAGAGGAGGTGACAGAAGAGGAACACTGCAGTATAGAAGCAGAAGCCAAGGCCGATGAGCTGGAGGCGATAGTCCCATAAGAAGTACTCTGCACTGGGCTGGGAGAGGCGGCCGGTGTGCTGCTCGGAGGCCATGGCGCTTTACGGAGGATCACCGAACCTGAGCGCGGGGAGGGTCACCTGAAGGTGGAGCTGCTAGGAGCATGGTGTGTGTGGCCCACCTGCAACAGACAGACAACACACCATCCATTAACGCAGCCCTTTGCCTGTGAAACCACTCCACGAAGCCGTGGACCTCGGTACACACGGATCATTTTATTTAAACTCTATGTAAGCCTTCAATCTGTGTTCGTTTCATCCGCCGGTGACAAACTTTCACTACAGAGTTCTTCGAAAGAGGAGTCAGAGAAAAGTTCGATGTTAACATCGCGACATATCTCACAGAATATTTAAAAATGATTAAATCTAAAGCGGTTTACTTACTAACTAACATAGAAACGTGTAACTTACCGGACAGAAGCGTTTCCAGGGAGTACAGCGTCCCTCTGTAACCGCTAGTACCCCCAAACAGGAAAACTCACATCATACGACTCCAATTTGGTCATGTGACATCCACACAGGAAGTCCAGCCTCGCTGTACTTTGCAGACATCCCATTGGTCAGCGCTGATCAGCCGTAGAATCCCATTGGTTGCCTCTTATTTATATTTTCTGTTTGGAAACAGCCTCTTTAATATTAATCACGATTATCTATTATGACGACCGGATTCCTGTAGAAGAAGTCGCAAGATTCACCTGAATAAACCGCTTAACAAATAGTAAGATAAACAAATAAACCCTCACAGTAATAAATAATATAGTCATGTCAATAAAATGCAACTTTCTACAAAAAAAAAAAAAAAAGTAATAAACGTGTGCACAGAACTGCATTTTTAACTATTAGAGGTGTGCTACTGGAACATGGCATGTGTGTCTATCTCCGTCCAGCAGAGGGAGCCCTTGCATTGTGAGATTCAAATGAAGTGGCCTCGCTTACATTTTTCGTGGTTTTGTTTTTGAGGAGTTGATGTGCTAAAGCTTTGATTTATTTTATTTCACTGTATTATTAATGTGTTTTATTTTCATTTGTTGCAAGAGCCGTTTAACAAATAGGAGCGGACCTTGCGTTCTACTCTCACTGGACTCTTTCTCAGCTTCCTCTCAGGTTTACTGGGTAAGACAAATTACCCATTGTTGTTTACCTGGCAAAGAGCTCATAGGTCAGAATTCTGCAGGAATGAAAAGCATTGAAAATATGTAATATCCAGCATATCTTTGCCTGACTTCGACCTTTATGGCCATTACAAGGTCTTTGAAACATTTGGACACGGATCATCTGAAGTTTAGAGTACTGATACTGTACCAGTGGTCGCATTCTTGCAGACAGTCAGCCTGCAGATCTGTAGAATTTATGGATGCTGCCATTGCTGTGGTGCATGGAATGCATTACAAGAATATAACCTGCAAATTTTAAAATGTAACCATGCTGGGATATCGATTATGTCAATGCTGAATATAGAACTCTTTAGTGCCAGAAGCATTATGTGGGTTGCTTTAAAGAATGGTGTTCAAGGGTAAGCTGAACACATGGGCACTGTCGATTCTCATCAAGAAGCACCTGTGTGATGTTGCGTTTTCTCTCCAAAGGCGTGCATGGGGTCAGGTTAATTGCTGGTTCTAAATTGGCTGTAGGTGTGACCGTGAGCTTGAAGGGTTGTCATCCTCTGCGCGCTAGCCCAGCGACAGACTGACAACCTTTCCACGGTGGACCCTGTGACAGCTGGGGTAGGCCTCGGCTCCCCCGTGACCCTGAATTGGATAAGATTGATTTATAGTAAGCTGACGCACGCTGATCGCTTTTGTTAGATGTGAAAAAACAAAAGTCAGTTCATTCAGTTATTCTTTTATATAAATGCCAGTTCTTTGGTGAACCTCCTGACACACTATGAACATCGGAAAGTAAGTGTACCAATTTCTTTGACTGATGATTCAGAGCTACACTTCATCTTTATTTCACTGCTATTTTCGTTAGCGGGCCACAGATCTAAAATGCATGAAATGTCAAGAGCAGTTTGATGAATTCGTTTAGCTCCCCTCCGGTGAGAGAAAATCCCTCCGCTGGAAGTACAGTTACTGTTAGGAAAGGCATCAGAAAGCTGTAATTCTGGCATACCCACTCCAGTGGATTAAATGCAGTGTAATGTATAATGTCTAAGTTTACGTGAATACTTTTGCTGTGATGATCACAACAGCAGCGAGTTACTGTTCAAAGTAAAAAGGACCACAAAGACAAACTTGTCTCAAATTTTTTCTCAAAAAATTTAATTGCAGAATTATTTACACTGAGTGAACTAAGCAATGATCAACGAGTCAAATAGGCAAAATCTCCCAACAGCTCTGAAAGAATGGAGGAAAATGCATAATACAAAATAAATTAACGATAAGGTAACTTGCACTGAAAGAACGCGCCTTGAGAGATGCACGTGTGGCAGACTTAAATAAATACATAACAAATGTACATCAGTGTGACAGTGTCATAATTCTTAAAAACAAGAATAAATAAGCCTACATTCAAAATCAGTTTTTTTTTTTTGCATGCCATCATATCAGCTTAGAAAGGAACCATAACAAAGTGAGAATAACAGCAAAACATGAGCAAGTGCAGAAAATAGTTGTTTCAATGAAGCATATATTTTATATTTATATATCTATATATATATTTCTTTACAAATAATGAATATTTGGCATTATATTCATCCTTCCTATAGATATGATATACAAGAGATGAAAATAGTTTTAGCTAAACAACTACCTTTTTTCATTTTGTCTAGTAATTATAGAGTTGTTTCACATTCCAACTTCTAGGAAGTGTTGTATCAGTGTGTTTCTTTCCATGGCACGATTACCAAAAAGTCCCCTTGAAATAGTTCACGTCATGGGTTCTAGAGTTTAAAGCGCATAGACAGTCGTACCAGAAGTGAGGCCACAGAATGTGTAGATACAAGCTCAAACGGCATGTTTGGAGATGGGTCGGCGACGGCAGTCATGGTTTGATTACGTAAAACTAATGTGCAGTAAGAACTTTACAGTTTGCTGGATAAGTCAAAGACATTGCACTTGCAGTTGGCCGCTGCCCTCCTGGCACTGAATACAGCATTGTTGAAATTTTGTACGCTCGGGGTTCACACGAGGTTTCAGCGGGCCACCTAAAGGAAAGCGCTGCAACTGCATCCTCAAAAGAAGACTCCCTTGGCGCTCACAGTATCGGATTCATGCTGCGCGTCATCCAGAAGGATTCAGTGCAGAATAAGCGCTACAGTCGGCTTCGAGGGAATACAAGATCGCTCTGTGAAAAAGAGTTCATGTGAGAATGCGTTTACACCTCAAAAGAAACGGTGTCATCGATGGAAAACGATTTTCACTGGGAGACAAAACCCAGCCGTCAGAGCAGCGAGGTTTGTCTCTGGGGTGATGAGGGAGGGATGATTTCTGCACAGTTCTTATCTCTAAATGCATCTGTAAATTTACTCACACTCGTCTCCTTATTGCCCTTTTCCATCTCCCCTGGTTCCTTCAAGGTCCGACTAGAAAAAAAGGCCTCCTGGCAAATTATGCGATGCGTCTTAAAGGTGCAAATGAAATGCTTGAAACTGAATCAGGTGGCGGTTATACTACGTTTTTCACGGCCCTGCTCGAGATATGTAAGGGAGAAACTCCTCAGTCGTTTCAGCCTCAGCCCAGCAGAAACATGTAGTGCTGATGCTTAAGTTCTACAGTGCAGGCCACAATTCAGCAATACATTTATCAACACAAGCTTTGAAGGGCCTTAGAGGCAGTTTGCTTGATCTCACCAAGGACCCAAAATCTTACATAAGCTGCTTTGCTTAGTCAAAGAGAGGCTAAAAATGACCCGGCGCAGCAGCGAGCGATCCTCACATGAACAGCCTTCCAGCTACAGAACAGCACACAGCACCAGCAGTTTGGGCCTCAGCGCCGAGCTCTCGTCTCCTCTAAGCCAGCATATGTCAACCCGAGTCTGTCTCTCTGCCGTCTGTCTGCCACTGTGGCAACAGCAGGGGAACGTCCCCGCTCTGCCAACTGCCTGGCATCGCACACCCAGACGCTTTCCAGATACCCACTGTCTCACTATTAAAGCTCCCTGCCTCTGCAATGAAAAACCCAACAGAATTCGAGCTCGCCGTGTTTTCTTGTTTCATTATTGAAACGCTGTCACTCCATCGCAGACTTTGGTTACCTGGTCATTCTGTAATGTGTTGTCTGAGGTTTGCTACAAGAAGTTTGGCAGATAAGGAATGTGTCATACATGGTAGCTTGAAAACAAGTGTGAATCCCACGTATGCTCGGAGTTTGTCTTCAAGGATGCGCATGGTTCAAAAAAATACTGCGTTTACTCAAAAGTACAATTCGCAGGAGCAAAAAGTAAATCAAGGTATCTAAAATACAATTTATCAAACAGCTGATGGCACAGCGATGGCGTGTAGATCTGTGTGGGGGTGCGGCGGGCGATGGAGGTCAGGCCACAGCTGGGTAGTAATAGGAAAATGACGCGCAGACCTTAGATTGACTTAGAGTCAGCATTGTGCTACAAAAACAAGATCCACGCTCACACATCAGCAACACACACACACACACACACTATTCAAATCCAGGGACTTTGTTTTTTTACTGCTATCATATGATTCATATCCCTGAACCCACCCATAATGAAGCCAGGCACTCGGGCACAATTAGTCATAAAAATAGATTTTTAAAGTGATGTACCGTTCAGTGGACAGCGCATTATTTCGACTTGATTATTTGTCTAGTACTGTACTGATTAAATAAAAAGCAGCACCATTTAGTGGGTTGATTATCCCAAAGGTTTTACTAATAGACTTCAGTCTTTAGGTCAATGATTTGACAGCGACATCAGCAACACAGTGGAGCGAACGTCGAAATCACCGGCACCAAAGTTTCATAATTAAGCAGCAGAATTTTAGCGTTTTGCTCAGAATGAATTTATGAGGAACACAATCACGGACCAGGATTGGATCAAACCAGCTATTCCTTCACTGATTACAATAGTTTTATTGGTGTGTATTGCGCCCTTACAGATTGACAGCAAACTATTTTGAGTCGTGGACCCCTGGAGGTCCCCGAACCACACTTTGAAAACCCCAGACCTCTGTAACAGTTGCATATATAGATGTAGGTGATCTTTAGCTTTTGTTTGTGTGGAATTTAGGATTGTGCAAATCTCCATTCACTACTTAAAATTGGCATCGGTGTGCACAGCCCGTTCTTTCTGTTCAGCAGGGCTCTTGCAGAGTTTTAGCTATTTGAGACTTGCTGCTTGCATCCCTCTGGAAAAGCCTTTGCCCCAATTTCATTTCATTATTCCCCATCTTTTCCTAAAGGGTGTCAGCCACAGGGAGACTTCAAACTACACTGAATTTTTCAAGAAATGGGAAAAATTACAAAGTACTTCATAGATTAAAGAAGCGCGTATGCAGATATTTTGTTTATGTTTTGACATTTTTCTCTCCATCACTCCTCATTAACTGTGGCTGAGGGTGCAACTTGAAAGGGCCTGACAGAAGCATGTCGGATGAAAAGACGGCCGTGCGGCGTAGAGTGTGTGCGCGATCAAAATGACTGCATGTGTGCAACAAATCCAGAGGAGTCAAGAGCAAACGAAAGGGCGGAAAACAGTGGAGACGCAGTGGGGAAACACGATGAATATTCATCCCACTCACAATTCAAAAATACAACAGTACTATTGTGAACTGGGGTATGTACATTTCCCTTGGAAATACAGAGAACTGTAATAAGTGCATAAGTGCATTTGTCTACACATTTCAATCTAAGGAGTTACAGACACTTTCATACTGGTTTCTACTGCATTGACATGATGAATGTGTTGGCACAAGACTTGCATGTTTTCAGCTTCAAGTAAATGTCGATATCTGAAAGTTGGCAACGTGAGATATATAGGAAAGATGTTTGAAATGTGCGCGTTGATGAGCTGATGTCATTCTTCCACCAATCCAGCCCATGAAGAATGTTTGACTACAACCAGATTGGGTAGAAAGCTGCATTTTTCAACACTGACCAGTCCAGAGCTTATTTAGGGCTGCCTGAATAACCTTGGATGTGTAACCAGTGCCACATGCACACAGTTGAGGTATTTCAAGCATTGGCACTTTGCAAAGACTTGAACTTACAACAATTTAGTGATACTTAGCTTCTTATTCCCCAAAAGAAAAGAAATCATAAGGTAATTTTCAAATGATCAAAAAGTATCGGAGGGCTACTAACTTTAACCGTTTTTGAACAACTTGAAATAAATAAATCTCTCATTTACTCTTTTAGCTCAAAGGCCTGGTTGCTGGTAGGTTCTCAAAGCTGCACTTTTTAAATGGCACTTTGCAAATGCTGAAAAACTACAGATGTATCCATCCAGGACACTGGATGAGAGAGCTTGTAGGTCGGGTGTCATGAGAGTGAGCTAAGGAGAACCCCAAGCGACTCATGTCAGACATACATTTCTGCTAACACTCGCTCTGGATGCAGGAGTATAGCCTTGGCGCATCCTACAGTCCGCTGGGGTTTTGGCGATGGGCACTGAGGATGGCTATCAGATCAGACGACAGATGGATAAAGGAAGAGTAGAGAGATTAGCAGTCTAGAAAAAGGCTAGTTTTAAAGTTTTGTTTGAAATAGGGAGACACGTTAGCCCCTGACCCGATCCTCTCAAAGTCTAGTCTGAGCCTCTGGAATATAGATCTCGATGCTGTCCGCTCGCTCCGAGGCTGAGTTCTGCCGGAAAGAGGCCGCCCGCTTGGCTGCCATGAGCCGTCGGCGGGCTTCCTGCCGGTGCCGATCTGGGAGGTCCAGGGATTTCTCCCTCGTCATTGCACTCTTCTGTCGAATTGTCTTCTTTGGTACGGGAGCTGGTGCCTTTAGAAAGAAGAGAGAAAGATTAAAATGCAATTTTGCGATTTATTAGAAAATCCTTTTTGTTTGCTCCACATTTTTTTAAGAATCAGTCTGCAAGCAGTGAGTCCTCACCTTCTTCTCTGGGCTATCTACAGGCCTCCAGTTGTTGTTCTTGATCTGCTGCAGCTGGTCAAATTTTATGGTGACGTCATCGATGGAGAGCTGCAGCAGGTCCCAGAACCCAGCCAGGTCCTGAGAGGTGGGTCGCGGCATGGCACTGGGGTCCTACGCAGCACGGGCACAAGAGGAAAGATCAAATACTCTTAAGAGTGTTCAAGTGGTGAGGTAGATACTATAATGTAACACCGCACATGTGGGCCACCCTGCTTACTGCACTTCAGCTCCAGTCCACTAGATGTCCTCGTCATATTCAAAACTAGTGATTGAAACGAGGGGCAACAGCTTGTGTTGGAGAGCGGTCCCGTCATTCGTTCATGAATGGGGCCTGAAATACTAAGCCGACTTTGTCGGTGCAGACCTATTCATCACTTGATATCTGAAATGAAAGGAATATCCGACTGAAAGGTGCCTCATTGTCTCAGTAACTGCTGCAGGTTAATGAGTCATGGGTTTGAGTTTACAGTGTGCTGGTCCCTCTTTCTTTCATTAAATTAGCTCCTTCCAAGCTGAATATTCTTGCGAAAGCTTTTCATGATAAGGAAGCACAACCTGCGTACGCCTGAACAGAATTTCTGAGCTGATTTTATGTGTTGATCGCCGTCAACGAGGACCCGGGTACACCGGTTTGTGCTCTAGGACAATAACGTCTAAAAAACATGATCATGAGAGGCTCTTAAACTGATGCAGGGAGAAAAAAGATTGATGGTCTTGAGGTAAATGTGTGCATATTATTAACCTTTGTTCATTACAAATTCTAATTTAATTGCAAATTTCTTTATTCCCAAATCCAACGCAGAAATGCGATTAGAAACAGGCTCTCTCAAGAGGCTTTGTTTGATTTCAGGGCTTGATGGTGTGGAGCACAACACTGTCACAGCTCAGGCTGCAGCACACCCTGCACTGTATTCAGGATTTTGTTTTTATTCATATATTTCCATCCATGTTTTACTTTACAACTTCAACTATTTCAGCTCCATGGTTTCATAAACTTTGCACCGACCAAACATCTGTGCTGTGACTCGACAACCAGAGATGGTCAAGCTCTAAAACATTATGACATTTGAAGCGTGCAGCAGAGTAGATGTAGTTTTTTATATGATGGGGGCTTGTTATTTAAGTTTTGAAGTTCCCAACTCATTTGGTTTCTTGTGCATTAAGTAATCAGATAATTATTTTTAGCCAAACAAACAGCAGGGAGTCGCTAAAATGATCTCAAAAATATCATCTTTGGCCCCAAGTGTAGAAATTCATTAACCAATTAAAATGTTATTTCTTCAGCTCTTTCCTAAAGTTGTATCTGTTGCAACATCACACACAGATATTAAACTTACAGTATTGCTAATCATACTTTGCTTACTGTGACTCCATAGGGGTTACATTCGGCTTTGATATTTGTACAGTATTATGAGATTAGCATAATTCTCCTTCATAAAGCAAGCCATTTGAAAAAAACAAAAACCCTAAGATTTCAAACATGAATGTCCACCATGTGAGGAATGCCAGAAACAGAATTCACTCCTGTTATCTCTAATTACTGAGAGATGGACTCAGAACTCCATCAGCTTTATTCTGACCTCTGTGCCTGTGATGTTCGGCAAACTCCAAAGTTTCAAGGCTTCAAATATTCAGAGCTGGCAGATTTGGAAGGAGTCGGTGAGTTTTAAGCTTCGGCTGTGTCTGTGTGTGCTTCAAATCCTGGAAATTCTCCCAGAGAAGCACTCTGTGCACACCGTTCGTTTTAATTCAGGCTTCCTAAATGTTGATTGAGACGTTAAAGAAAAGCAGGCTCCTAAAACAAGATGAGACGTCCTTTTAAGTTTCTCATTTGCGGACATTTCACAAACCAAGGCGGTGTATGAAATATTGTTTCATATGGATTTATGGCATGATCAAGGTTGCTGGTTTGTTGAGTAAACATTCATAACACCGTCTCCTTCAGGAGGAAATAGTACCTGGCGTCTACCTACCTACCTACCTACCTACCTACCTATCTAACTGTATGCCAGGTGTGAGGGAGACATCAACTCACAGAAGGTAAGACAGTTGCAGAGAAGCCAGCTGAATAGTAGGAATAAGATACAAGCCATCAATGCATATGCCCTACCCAGTGTTGGGACTAACGCGTTATTAAATAACGCGTTACAGTAACTACGTTATTATTGTGGTAACGAGCACGGTAACTAGTTATTATGCCAAAATCAGGAACGCGTTAGTCGTTACTGGGATTTAGATAGGGTCGTTACTCGTTACTTCGTGTGGTGGCTATCGCGGAGCTTCCACAGATTCAGTAACATTAGCAAGTGGTGGAGGCAGCAGGTGGATGAAGGAAAAGGGACGCAGAAGGAAAAGAGACCCGAGGCGGCCGCCGGTCCAAGTGTGAACTGAACTTCAGGTAAGAAGTTCTGACCTGCAGTCTCTCTGGGTCAGATATGAACCAAGTTTAGGTGGAGTTTATTTTCGCTTATTCTGACTTTTTCCGTACTGCGTGCTAGCTAGCATGACGGAGTTTCTATACAGCTGGGTGGTGCTATGAAGTTAATGATGTTGAACTTTATTTTGTTCATAAGTTATTAGAGTTGCCAACCGTCCCGTCTGGTATTCAGAGAAAATATTACGTGTTTCTTATTGAGGTGAAAAGGAACAGTTTGTCCCGTAATTCAGCTACAATGAAAAAGGCACAAAGCTGGAGTTATTCTGTGTCTTTGCTGCACAGCTGCCTCTTCTTCTTTCATTCTCCCCCCTCCCTCTCCCGTTTCTACTTCAATCATGAAACTGATCAATGATCAGCTGATCGGCTCTCTTGTTTGTTTATCGCTCACTTTGCGCCAGAAAGAGGAAACCAGCGGATGTCGCGCTAAACAACAGCAGCACGTTTAAGCTTGATCAGCTGTTGTTAGAATTTATTTAATATTAATTTCTAGTATCAGCTGATGTTTGCTGGAGCCACAGCTGTAAAGCTGCTGGTCATGATATGGTTTGGATATCGTGGTGAGAGGGAAACATGAAGATGAAACCAGGAGATGTCCTTACTGGAATCATCAGAGCTGAACAGGTGATGGAGAAACAGGTTTACCTTTTAGGTGACATGAATGAGTTGAAGGGAAGTTATGAACTGTTTCTGAGAGACAAATAACACCAGGATCCTTTTTTAGGTAGCTGACAGCTGGTAACTGTGCAGGGGCGGGTCTAGCAAAGTGTTGCCAGGGGGGCATGTAGGGCATTAACAGGGAAGGGGGGCACAAAGAAATACTTTTCTTTCTTATTCTCATTTAAAATGTCTAGCTTTTAAAAAACAATTATCTGAATCTTACAACAAACATTTGATAGATTGATACATATATACCATCAAAACAGTGTACATCACTGTCACAACAGTGTTTGTTTTCATTCAAAGGCTTTATGATTTTTGCTATAATGGCGGCCAGTCTCTAATCAAAATGCCCAGGACGATTTTTTTGTCCCAGTCCAGCCCTGTATGCAGCTCATCTGCAGTCTGGTGTTACCTACATCTTCCTATTCAGAAGGCAGAATTTCCGAGTTCTGAGTACAATCAAAGCACCACGACTGCAGTTTTTGTGTTGGATGTAAAAGGCGCACATGACGCTGTGACGTAGGCTAGAATCATGGCGGCGGTCAACAACGGGCCAGGTGGCACAGTGCACTTGTGGCAAGTAAGCAAGCTAGAAGACTGGCAAAGTTATGGAAGAAACACATTAACAAGAGAATTCTGAGTAAAACCAAAGTTACTTTCCCTAGTAACTAGTTACTTTGAAAGTAACGAGTAACTTGAAGTAACTGAGTTACTTTTGAGAGAAGTAACTAGTAATGTAACTAAGTTACTATTTTAAAGTAACTTATCCAACACTGGCCCTACCGGTCATCAGATAAACAGCTGGAATAATAAGATGCCCACAAGAGGAGGAGATGTCACAAATGTCAATACATGAAACCCCTCATTCAGCATGGAGGTTTTCACCCAAAGTCCAACATCCAGACACTCCATGAGCTACAGAAAGTGGGAGGGCATGGATCACTGAGTGTCAGAGCCACAGTACAGCATGAAACTTGGAGCACTCACAAGGGCTGCTCCATGAGAGCCTCAGGCAGCTAAAGACAGACGATGATGCGGAACAGGAGGTGGAAGTGTATTGGATGACCAAGCCCCTGCATGGGATATATCTGCACCATCTATCTACATCTACATCTGTACCATCGACAGACAGGGGAAGCGGCTGACTAAAGAAATCCTACCAGTGGCTAGAAAAGGCCAGCTCAAAGGACAGCACAGAGGCTCGGATCACGTCAGCAATGGAATGGGCCCCGAGATCCAGAACCATGGAGGCAGGAGCTACCACAGCCAATAGGACGCAAGTTACAGACTGTGCAAAGGTTCCCTGGAGACGATCCAGGACATAGCAGGATGCAAGCCATACACTTAGAGGCAAAACCAGTGGCTGTGATAGTGCTGAGGAACATCTGTGCCACACACACTGCTGGTGTCTCAGATCCATTTCAATAGAAGCCTGGTTCTACCATTACTTCCCCTGTTCTAGGATAAAGCTGCATCACACACACACACACACGCATGTATTGTTTTATTTCAGAATGCTCAGGTCACATATAAATGCGCCGAATAGCTATTGATTCTCAATGTTGCACTTTTCCACAATCAATGACATTTTCAGGCAGTTGGATTCAGTTTGTTAGCACCAGCTAAAGTATTAAACGTGTATTGAAGGTTGAAGAACAAAGTGTGGAACTGTTTCTAATGACAAAAGTTCATTCTACAGCACGATCAATATTTTGAGTCTAACACCTTTGTGCCAGATGTAGCTGTGTCATTCTAATTCCTCTCTCTCTTACCTTCAAGCACAGATGTGGTAGGCTGGATCACATGCAGTGTGGATGGTCATGTTATTTGTGTGCTGCAGTTAATGTCACCTACATGTGAGTTATGATGTAAACAGCAGTTCTATTTGTTCTTTACCTACAGACTTTAATAAAATCACGTCTTACCAGGTTTTGCTGACACAGCCAGTAGAATTGCTGGAATTTCTGAGACATGAGCAGCTGAGCGCTTCCCACTGCACTTCGGATTTTCCCTAGAACTGAATCACACGCAGCATATCAAACAGAGCACATGCAAACTTTTAATTCTGCTCAAAGGATCAGAGATTCACTCACTCTCCTCTGACAGGTCATTCTCTTCAGCTTCTGCCTCCATCTCCTTACACCAGCCCTCCATCCTCTTTGTTTCATTGTGGAGCAACTGCATGAACCAGCTCCCGTCCCTCCGCAGGGAAGGGGACGCCCTCCCCGACTCGCCCGGCGAAGCCGCGTTCTCCCGCGGGGAGGGGGGTTCTAGCTGCCAGGTCGTTTCGCTGGTGGTCTCCCGGGGACTGGGGGGTTCAGCAGGGGTACGATAATCCTCCCGGTAGCTGAAGAGCCCCTGGGTGCGCACGGTCCGCACTGCCCCGTACTGGGTAGGTGTGCTGGGCTCTGAGTGACGCTGGAATCCCCCACCAAACTGCAGGCCTTTGTCCTCCATGGTGGGAAAGCCCTCCAACTCCAGGTCGGCCTGCACAGCTGCAGTCACGCTGTTGGAGCGTTTGAACCTTCCCTGTCTGAGGGGCGAAGAGATTAAAGGCACGGGTGAATGTACACATGCCAAAATGACGAATAATGGCACTGACAGTGGGGCTATTTTCTGCGATACCGAGATCAAACATCAAACCCTGATGTTTTGTAATGATGTGAAAATCCCAAAGCCATTATCTTACCCTTTCTTTTCATCCTCTACCTGGATCCCAACAGAATGGTACTCCCGTGAGCCTTTGCTTTCAGATTCAGAGTCCGTGGCTGCTTCCACCTAATGCGAAGAAAAGATACAAACAGTGCTTCTCATTATGTGAGCTGCAATTCCCCAGTGTTTCTGTGTTTATTGGGTTGGGACTGGACAGAGCAACTTAACGGTGCACAGCGTGTCAGAAAGTAAACATTGTATGATTTATGGAGGCTGCGAAGGGAAAAAGACTGAGGTGGTTTTTAGGTTTGAGCAGAAATTAGGCTAAAGAATGAAGCACAGTGTGCTATAGGGTACATCCTACAACGTAAAATGTCCAATAAAGCATTTGTAGTTGCCCAAAAGGAAGCATTAGATTTAATAATGGCACCATACAGCGCCAGCTAAATGTTTGAGAACAACTCGTTCGATGCTTTGCTGTGCAACTATGCAATAAGCATAGCAGCTTCAAATTAGCCACCTTTGCACACACGCTGCAAGGGCTCAACACAAACACCTCTGAGTTTAGGTCGGGTCAACGTGAAGGCGCTCCATTAGCGTGTTTGCCGGACACCCTTACAGAGTGTGGACGTGTGCTTCGGGTCATCATCCTGTTGGAAAACAAATGATGGTCCCACCAACTGGAACCAGATGGGAAGCTGAGCCGCTGTGAATGTTGTGGCTGTTCTACATAAATGGCCAACAGTGTCACCAGCAACATTATCACACCTCCTCTGCCATGCTTCTCAGTGGGAAACACACTTCTCTCACCATCCGTTCATTCTCTCTGCATATCACAAAGATGTGGAACCAGAAATCTCAAATCTGGACTCGCGGGAGCAAAGCCCAGATTTCTGCTGGTCTGCTTCCTTGCCTTTCATGACCCGAGCAGTCTGCTTTATGTTTGTGTTCCTCTATGGGCTCAAATTGTGGTCATAAATATTTTGTACTTGTAAATAAGGATTTGTATGTGTAAAAAGAATTTGTGTGTGTAAAAGAGATTTGTGTGTGGACTTAGCCAAAAAATACGTGTGAAACTCTGGACTCAAGTTTCAAGTACGAATTTTGACCCTGTTTTTCTTCCTTTCATCTGATTGGCCAATGTCATGTGAATCACAAATTTAACTATCCAATCAGAGAACAGATGGGTTTGGCTGTTGGAGGGGTGCTTTTTTGAACTGCAGGACCTTGAAGGGTAATACAGTTTGAAGCTGGAGGATCTCTATGTAAATATCCGATAGCAGCTAGGTCCCCTAACTTTCAGCAGCTGTTGAAAGGATAAAGTTGTGGTATATCAGTGGTTAGAAACACCATTATTACTTTAGGATTAGTTTAACACAAAGTCAGGGCTGACCCGGGACCATGGCTGTGAGTCACAGTGCGCAGCATAAAGGTCCTTTCACATTGGACGCAGCGCTAATGCTAACTGCTAACTAAAAGCCAAGGATCCAGAATTTGTTGCGCTGGCTGCTGAGCTTTGTGGGTTTTTTGCAGCAGCTCTACCTGTACTAGATGCTAGTCCCTGTATTAAGCAGGTAAACCTGTGACACAAAAATCACCAAACTCAGACGACCACAGACTGTTTTTTCTTCGTGGTGATGAAGGAAAACGCTGGGCTGGCATGTAAAAGGGCATTTATTCCCTTCAAGAAACTGAAGCCCCATAAAGCACCCCTCCAATAGCCAAACCCATCTGTTCTCTGATTGGATAGTTAAATTTGAGATTGACATGACATTGGCCAATCATATGAAAGGAAGAAAAACAGGGTCAAAATTCATACTTGTCACTTGAAACTTGAGTCCAGAGTTTCACACGTACTTTTTGGCTAAGTCCACACACAAATCTGTTTTACACACACACAAATTCTTTTTACACATAAAAATACTGATTTACAAGTACAAAATATTTATGACCACAATTTGAGCCCATACTCCTCTGTGCTTTCTTTCTCACATTTCAGTCATAAAAGCTTGAGTCATGCAGGCTCCTCCAAACAGTTTATGTGGAGGTGTGTTTGCTACTTGAACTCTGAGAGGCAATAATTTGGGCTCTACGTTGAGTGCCACTGACTGCAGAGTGCAGAGCTACTGCGACTCTAGGACTTCCAGCATGTATGCCAGGTGAGGCTGTTTCACAGCGCCTGGTGTTTTTTGGGTTTTTCTGCACTGCAGGAAACAGTAAAATGTTCAGGTTAATGGACTTTAATTTCTGAACTTACTGATGCAATGTCATTTCTCTGTTCTTGGCCTGTGTTTTCTGTAGAGTGGCCATTGTGCCTCAGGATAAAGGGATGACTGCAGATAGCAGGAAATACATTCGAGGCACAACCGTTAGCTGTAGGTGATGATCTCATGAAGGTCATGAAGATAATTTAAATAGTGTGAAAAGCCATCATATATGTGTATAAAGATAAGGTTTCTTTTGAAGCATTTTTAGTCCGTTATGGTAGACTGGATGCTGTGGAACCATCCACAGTGATAGAAATGAGGACATTAGTTTTTACTATGGAGGAGGAGGACAGAGCGGCGGATGATAATGGCTCCTGCGTGGCTACAGTCGGTGGAGCCACATTTAATGACACCTCTTCAGTGTTGACCATTTTGCTCTGCTGTTCTTCCTCCATCCGTTCTTCTTCTTCTCTTCTAATTTCTTTCTCTCACTTGTCTCTCTTTGTCTAGTTTCCACAATGTCTTGCTGACTGACTGTGGCTATCTTTTTTCTAAATACTGACTGAATCCTGCTTTGTCATTTTTGTTATGTCAGTCATTTTTCTCCGGTGCCCACTGAGCTCTTTTTCTCTGTGACAGTACAAGTGGTGCTCTGCAAATATGATTTCATTGGTACGGTTGGTATAATTGGTTGTATCTTCAGAGAGACAGACCTTGCATTAACATCTGCTTTAAGTGATCCAAACACAAGCTGACAGCTCTAAGTATACCAGTTCACAGCTGGCATTAAAATGCATCTTGAGTGACCACTTATGATTGGATCCGACTTCCCCCGCTCCTCATGCAAATAAAAAAATAGATCGTTTTCTGTTTGCAAAAAGCAGATTACAGCACTCACATCTGCCCTGCATACACATACCTCAGTGCATGACCAGACGCAGCTGCTGTGGCTCCTACAGCGCCCGCTTCAGTCCCTCTCCATGCTTGTATGTTCATGTGAAGTGTGTTTGCTCAGACTTGGTCCCTGATTGATCACATCATCGAGTTATCTGTTCCAGCCTATCAAAACTGTAAACCCCAGTTTCTTGTTTACTGCTTTTCCTTTGTCTACCTGGGCTTTCTTAATAATAATAATGGATTGGATTTTATATAGCGCTTTTCAAGGCACCCAAAGCGCTTTACAATTCTCACATTCACACACTGGTGGAGGCAAGCTACGGTTGTAGCCACAGCTGCCCTGGGGTAGACTGACAGAAGCGAGGCTGCCATATTGCGCCATCGGCCCCTCTGGCCACACACCTTACATCACACCTTACATCACCCTCCTCCAATCAGATACTTGTCTGCCTGCACGTCTCAGCCACTCCTTCACCCACAGCCCACTCAGCACAATCATACCATCTTCCATCTTCTCTCCAGTGGCGGTTATCTACCCCTGCCAGCCAACGCTCATCATCTTCTTCATTACCACTCATCTATCCCCCGTATAGGACTGTCTTCCTGACCTCATTTTTCCCAACACCGACCCTTACCTGAAGTCATCTCCTAGTGAAATACGGATCCACTGTGTCGACACATAAGCTACACAAACATCTGATCTATCCTTCTTTATTTTTATTTGTCCGGTAAAGACTATGGGAAATGAAAGCCCAATCACAGCTGTGATTACTGGAGAGCTGAGTAAGTGGTTCTTTAATGAGGCCCAGGGCACATGTTGACCATATTTTGGACCGGATGACTTTGGATGTGTTCTGAGCGATCAGCTCTCTATTCTGTCGGGTGTATTTATAACCTGAGCGGTGCAGCTTTGATAAGAGCTGAGCGGAGCCTTATGTTCCCTGAGAGAAAGAGAGAGTGCTGTTCGTCCTTTGGTCACCTGGATTTCCTCGCAGGGTTGTTTAGAGTCAGCTAATCATGGGTTAAATGTTTCAGGAACACATTTACAGCATGCATAGGTCAGAAAAATGACTCGTGGCTGTGCCCTGTTTTTTTTTTTAGCTGGTTCTACTTTGCATTTACCCACAAACTTCCCTCATCATTTACTGGGTGATTTTAAAATTAAAAAATGTTGATCCAGTCTTTGACAATATACCAAAATGTGTTTTTACACTGTGATTTTTTTAAAGGTTAGACAAGCAGGACTTAATGTGAGCATTGCGTCCTCCTCAGGATGAACTCTAACAACTCATGATCCTGGTATGTGAATTTGAAATACCTGCATAGTAAATAATGTTCGTCTGATATCAAAGCACTGTGCTATAGTGCACATAGCTGTAAAAAACGAGTGCATTTCTCTGCCAATGATATCATTCCAGCCCTCGGGTGTTTCAAAGAGCGCCCAAAATGTCTATAAGAGGCCTTTTAAGCATCTGACATTCATAAATCTCCGACTCAGTGTAGTATTATGACTGTGAGAGTGAACCAAATGCATTGAGAATATCGTGCAGTTCTGTTGTTTGGAAATGTCAGCCCTACCTTTGTTGTGGAGTGGTCAGTATTAAAGCTCAGGAGTGACATTTTTGGTGAGCTATTTTGTATTCTGTCAGGCTGTTTGGAAGAAGCTATTAGCAGGGAGGAAATGTGCACGGAGCAGCCTGCTGAGGTGACCTCCATTACTCGCTTCGTGTTAGAGGCAGAGCCTAGTCCACCTCATGATAGAGTTTCATGTCTGTGATGGATGAGAGCTGAAAGAAGGCAAAACATCCAGGATGCCGTGCAGTTTGCATCCAGCGGGCTCTTTAGGCTGGACATACTTTGGCACGTGCATGCAGAAATACAAGGGCGTGCATACATCATCACAGGCACAGAATCAGCACAGGTGTGGAAACTGCAAGCTGCACGGAGCGACTCAGCCTTTCATCCACAACACTCAAACACCACCTGGTGACTTCCTGGAGCCAATTTAAGGTTTAAGGTTAAAAGCTTTGACTCCTTTTTTCATACGAGCTCATTAAGGCTCCAATTAAAACTCTTGCTGTGAATAAATCAATCAGACTTTTGGAATGTAAGCATGTCTGAGTTCTAAAGTGGGAAAAGTGCAGCCCAGGTGGCTCTAAAGTGGTCCCAATGGGAGGACCGGAGGAAGTCAAGTCAACACCGAGTCCACAAAGCCAATAATTAACATTTAAAAAATGTGCAGAAATGTTAAAAGTTGACCTCCTGTAGGAGAGGCAGGCTGAGAGGGTGAAATCAATGCAAAGGAAGGATAATCCAGGTTAATTACAGGACTGGGTGAAGCACGTGGATGACGAAGAGGTCAGCTGAATATAATAAATGAGTATTTGCATACTGTAGTTCAAAGACTTCTGGACTATGACACATTATCCAAAGTCATAATTAAAAATATGCTTTGGTGAACTGACACTAAGCTCAATTTCTTAAATTTGTACAACAGCAATTTTGCTTTTCGAATAAAAAATCCCTTAATTGTAAAATAACAGACTCCCTGGTATTACAGCTTAGTGTATTCAATAATATTTGAGTCTTTCCAGGAAAGGTTTCTGAGAACTTGTTAGAAAATTATGGCTCTTATAAAATAAAGCTTTAATTCTCCAACATGAAGGTCCAAAGTGATGGGATGAAACCTTCTGCATCGCTGCTAGGGATGCTTAAAGAAACCTGTCTGTCTCAGGCTATATACGGTATATTTCTCATGCTATGATTTACTCACCACAGAGGACCCATTCAAATTGTTCTCATGCAGTACAGTCAGAGTATAGGCAGGTAAATATAATGTTGTTAAAGATGAATGTGAGAATGAAGCATATAAGTCTTCTCAGACTGTAATGTTTTCAACCTAAACATTTATGATTAGACGAACGAGAAATTCTTCTTTCTGCTTATTTTATATTTGAGTCCAGAAGCTTAAATTACCTGCACTGGTAATTTAACTGGACTTTCCACACACCACTGGAGGTGATTGCAAGACAGACACCCTGTTACACACACACACACACACACACACACACACACACAACACACACACACACACACACACTCACACACACACACACACACACACACACACACACACACACACACACACTCCTGCATTTTCACCTTCACTTTCATCAAACACACAGCACTAACAGTGGACTCGTTCTCCCAGAGGGTTTGATCTCCATCTCACTGGTGATGGATGGGTCAGATCGCTCATGCACATGTGCTGAATGTGTTGCTTTGCATTTTTCTGAAGTGTTGCAATGAGATTTGGATGTTTCACTTCTGTTTTCTTTAAATGAGCAGTTGGGTGGCCTGTTCATCTTTAGATGGCAGGCTTTGACCCTGGCTAACAGGAAACAGAAAGTGCCAGTACTGCAAATGTGTTGGAGATGAGGAGAGTAAGAATGTGAACAAGGATATCTGAACTTTGCTTGAGTAATTAGGTAAATCATTTCTGGAGCAAAGAGTGAGTAAACCAAGATGTTTACATGAGTCAGGGAAATGTAGCCTGGTTACTGTGAGACCTTCATTAACACTGAGCTCATTTCTCCTCCTAAAGCAACCATTTTTAATGCAAAGCTGGCATTTTACACACAAGATGGGAGCAGCTGAAAGCTGCTTTTAGCAATGCACTAATAACTGCAGATGGCTCAGATGTATATATATATAACTGACAGACCCTGGCATTTTTGCTCTGTCTGCTGTTTATAGTCTCCTGACATTATCACTATGCTTTTATCATTGTATCTGAAAGAATATATATAGAATATGTTAAAGGCTAAGAGCCAGTGCAGCCAATCAAAATCAACAGATAGATCAGAGTGGAATCGTGACTGGGTGGGAGGTCCGTTAAAGGATCACTGTGGGCTGAAGTGGAAGACCAGCACAGAGGCTGTGTACTCCCTAAGCAAGCTGAGATCCAGGAGATTTCCTGCCTCTCAGTTGTGGTGAGCACCGGGTACTTCACTGTGGTCTGCTGAGCATCAGAGCTGTGAATAAACTGATTAGGAAGGCTGACTTTATGACTGGAGAGGAGGTGGCTGAACAAACTGTTATCCTGACCACCCTCTGGGCCGGTTACAGGACAGGCGGCAGAGCTCGTTCTCTCACAGATTCAGCTCGGCTACTACAACAGCTCTACAGTGACACACACATCTGTCTAACAGAGACTCGTCGGCTCTGCTACGTTTAACATTTTAACCCTGCACTCTTACAATACAAATGATATTTTTTACACACTGACACCACAAACAGGGTTGAGAGGTTGAGTTCAGTGACTTGATTTAGCCATTTAGCATGTGAGTCTGCGGGTTTTGACCCGTAGACCCAGATCAGTGCCGGCCTCCAGAGGCCGTTTGAGGAGCTCCAGCTTTTGTTGCTTCTGTCATGTGTTTTTGGGTTTGTTTGTTTTTACCAGTTTCAGTCTCTTATCATTAAAATCGCTAATTTTTGATGGCAGTAAGAAAGCGTTGGAGGCAATTTAGACAGAACAGGGAAATTTGCTAAATGTTCTCCTGCAAATTCTCAAGTTTGGATGCGTGGAAGAATCTCCTGCTACCAAAGGATTACTGTTTGACTTCCCCGTAATAATATTTAACCCCAGCTCAAACCAGTTACCTCTTTTAATCTCATTTTGAAAGAAAACACTGCAGTTAGGATGCACTTAATTTCTTTATCAAAGAAAGATATTCAAACACAGGCAGAATGAAATCAAAAGGTTCAAATTTTATATATGAGCAGGTTTGAGTTTGCAAACAGTTTAGCAGGAACGACAGCCAGCAGAGTGGATATATGTACGTGCACATATTTGTGTGGAGGAAGAATAAACAGGAAAGATGCACTGATTAAGGTAGACAAGTACGTAATAATGAGATGAAAGCAGAAAACCAAAAACTCCCTACATGCAAACTTTAAAACTTTAATAGAACTGATATTCTGCTTTAAATGGCTACGAAGGCGGAGTGAATTGACTCCTCAATCTTTTAAGAGCATCAAAGCAGACACCTGCAAAGGAAGATCAGCGACAGCAGAACCTCGGCTACAGTCGGAGCACGAGTGAGACAAATCCAAAGTAAAATGACTCTGAAGCGGGAGGTGGAGGGAGAAAAAAGGCACAAAGGAAGCGAGAGGGAGAACAATTAGAAAGGGGAGCGAGAGAGTCAGTGGGGTTAGACAGAAAGAGAGGCAGGTACAGTAAGAAGAGGAGTGAATGAACCGTGGAGTGAACTACCATTCACTAAAACCTGCTCCAGCATGAGTTGAATCTTAATTAACGGATTGCAGTAAGATGACTCACTCCTGCTATTTTTAGCCCCTGAAATGAGAACGCTGTTTCTCGGCTGAATGTATGTGTGGGAAACTATTCTTTGATGTTATATAACCACACACAGGTTTGAGCAGTGCGAGTTTTAGGACCAGTGAAATGGCATTTTAACCATGCACGCTCATTTGAAGACTGACCTGTATCCCTATAGATGATCGAGGTGTTTTCAAGTACTCCTCGGCCTTTGACACGAGGACGGCCTTATCGCAGGTGAGCACTGAGCTGTGAGAGTCTGTGGACGGGTGTCTTTTTCCAGCCATGACTCTGGCCGCCTCCATCGCTATAGTAACAGCTTTGGTGCTATCCAGGCTGTCGTTGGAATTGTAGAGGCCTCTGCCCGGGGTCAACCCCAAGCTGATGCCGTCGGACGCCCACATCCCACCATGAGGGTGCCTCCCCTCGTGGTGGGCGTCCTGGGTGGACTCGGTGCTACTCTGGGCCGTGATGGAGATGAGCGGTTTGGAGGTGGTGCGTGGCGGGACTGGAGGAGGGGTCTTCTTATAGCTAGGTGTGTAGGTGATGGCTAGAAAAGAGGCAAAAATGAACAGAGCCATTTTCAGAATATTAACATTTTAAATTTACATTAAATTCCCACTGTTCATACTATATGTTTATAGTATAGCAAAGATTTTATGATGCAAGGCAATGATGTAAAAAGATTTGATTTGATTTTGGGAAAAATATGTCAAGGTAACTATAAACTACAATGCACATGTTCATAATAGTGAAATAGTGATGGATGATTTTATTTGATTTTTTTTTAATGTTATTCTAAGTTCAGTGTGGTCATAAGTCTGTTTTTAGATTGGTCTGTTTTCTGTTCAGGTGTGTGTGTGCCTGTTTAGACATCATCGTGGGGACCAAAAATTGGAATGGTCCTATACTTGCAGGGACCGGAGGACTTGTGAGGACGCACGCGTGATTATGATTTTAGTGTCAGGGTTAAGGTTAGGTTCAGGCTGAGGGTTAGGCATTCATTTATGATGGTTAGGGTAAGCATCTAGGGAAAGCATTATGTCAATTAGATGTCCTCACTAAGATAGCGAAACCAGAATTTGTGTGTGTGTGTTTGTAATTCATAGAAATGATCCGTAAATAAAAGTTAATCATACATAAAATCCAGAAATAGAAAAAGAAACAAACTTGGATGTAATAGAAGCAGAAGGCCAGCATGATATTGATAAACACATGCAGATGGTTTGTATCTCACAGATTACTAAATGTGATTAAAAAAAAAAAAAAAAAAAAAATGTGCTTTTTTTATACTACAGTGTATGCGTTTTCATACATAGTATACACAGTACCATAGGCAAAGTTGCCTCCATTTTTGTAATTTTTTTATCAATATTCAAGGACTCTATTTTTGGAGTGTATTTTACACATTAAAAGTGAACCTCTGTCTGTCAGTTTACTTCTCATTTACTGTGAGCATCATTTTCTCCCAGTAATTACGGTTAGGATATGTTTTGTTTTTTTTTATTCCAGTCCATTCTTCATTTGCAGCATTTAAATAACCTTTATCAGATTTGATGGTTTTGTTACATACTTTAAAAAAGTGTTTTGCTTTTCTTTTACAACTGTGGGATTAAATTGTGTTAAAATGTACAAAACAGTGATGTCATGTTTTGAGACGAGGACCCAGGCACAGAGAGACTTGATGAATTTAAGAATCTTATGATTTAATAAAGAAATTTACAGACTTGCACAGAGATGGTAAAATTATGATGACTGATAACGGAGATGAAGACAACAGACGATGAGGACAGGTTTAAATGCACTAAGGAGACACTCAGAGGGAACTCAGGACAACTGGAGACATTTAAGGATGCAGGGACTGACAGAGACGGGGAAGAAGTCTCATCATGGCGAATAAAGTTTATCTTGCCTGGCTGGGCAGCTGCTCAGCCCCCCAAAGCTCTGATCCTAGAATCGCCCCAGTGTGGCATTACATTTGGAAGAAGCTAGCTGCTAAAGAAACAGGTTGCGGGTGAATTAGAGGTGCAACAAATTGAACAAATGAAGCCTCACAGCTCTGCCCAATAGCCTGAAGACAAGCAGAGAGAATAATGACTTGTTGTCCACAGACCGATCCAGGGTGTATTACCCACCCGAAGCTGAGACTGAAACATACTGGAAGAACATCCAGGAGAAAGAAGCGTCACTGGTGGATCTAAGAGCAGACGAGAGCAACCTGCCAGAACAAGAGCCAGTGAACGTCACAAAGACAGCCATCCAACCACAAGAATGAGCTGGACCAGGACCTGACATGATCCATGCCTGCTGACTGATGAAGCTCACAGCACTCCACGATCGCCTGGCAGCACAAATAAGGGTCACTGCTAACAGCAGGGTGGCTAACACAAGGCAGAACCATCCTGACCATAAAGGGTCACCATCGAACTACCTGCCTCTCCACTACGTGGAAGCTCCTCTCAGGTATTGTAGGAACTAAGCTGAGCAGGTACATGAGTCAATGAGCACAGGTCAGAAAGGCTGTATAACAGCAGAGGGCCACAGCACCAGCTCCTCAAATACCTCCAGAAGCAGTGCAATGTTAGGAAGCAGTGATCTGATACCCAGCTGGAGTAATAAACTCACCCAGTGCTGACAGGACTGCTGGGATTGGCTTCAGAAGAATTCAGGGACAACTGGGTTGTATTAAATTCAGTTAAACTGAATTGAATTCAGTTTTATTCATATGGCACCAAATCGCTACAACAGCCACCTCAGGGCACTTTATATTGTAAGGTAAAGACCCTACAATAACACCAGCCCTCATCACCACAGCCTCAGGTGTTCAGAAAACGGGTTTTTACACCCGTCTCTGAACAAAGTAAAAAAAAAAGAAGCTGTTGTGACACGTGAGACTGATCTGACATGGATGAAAACCAGAGAAGTAATCAGGAGTACTCATGTGGAGGATTCTGCTAAAGGAAGGCTGACACGTCTCGTCTTCTTATTCTGCCCGTTTCACAACAGAAGGAAGGAGGATTACTTTCTTTCAAGTGCAAATGAGAATATGGACTTAATCCACAGAGAGATGGACTGGGGAATGGGTCACGAATGCCTTCTGGGCTTTGACATGTCTTTATTTTCAGAAAGCTCATCGTAGTTACAGGTCCGAGCATCTGAAGCACGAGCTGTGAGCCGGCCACCTCAGAGCCAAGAGCAGAAGGAAGAGCGACGGCAGAGCGGAAGAACACCGAGTCACGCTGCGGGGCAAGTTATGGGTTATCGTTTTCCTCGACAAAGAGGCAAACTGAGCTGAACTCAGCGTTTCTTGTGTGCTTACATCACACAAAGCCACTACTTTCAGTTCTAATGAGCTGCCCCGTCCACGCAGGCCCCCCAAACACTAATGTGTAGAATTAATAGCATTTCACAAGTACAGAGCAAACACAAACCTTTTTGTTTGCATTTATCTTAATAAAGAGAGAAATTTCTTGTAACCATCAAAGCCAGCGCTTCACCTGAAACCTGCAACAACTTTTGGCCTCTTTCTCACCCCGACTGCAGCTGTGTATAAATAGCTACAGACGTCTGGTCTATGAAGAGCGTTCTGCTCCAGGGACTAAATGACTCACACTGACGGCCATTCACAGAATTAAGTCCTCGTGGATGAAGAGATGCGAACCCGAATAAAGACGGAAAATGGGAGAGAAGGAAAATGTAGAGGTAAGAGAGAAAGAGGGAGGGAGAGTAAATCATTGCAGATATAAAGAGGGATGAAAGAGGGTTTTGTGTGTGTGTGTCATAGAGAGCAAGGATAAATCAGGGAGTGCGGAGAGATCGAGGGAGGAAAGAGATGACCCATTGAAGGGGCATGATTCAGCAGGAGGACCAAAATAGAGCCATTATTAGCCAGCCAGTCGTGCAAAGGGGAGTCATAACTCTTGGTCCCATCTTGTCAGTGGCAGTATTACTCAGCATGTAGATGAAGTGAACACCAGAACATACGCACTGCTCGCTCACTCATTTCAGACAGAGTATTTAACACTATTATTATACATCATGTTCCAACATATGAAGCTGTGGTGATGTAGTGCAAACTGCTCTCTGTGTACGTGAAGCCGAGTGATGTGATGCTCTGTGTTTAGAGGTTGGCGGCGTGTCGGGCGCACTTTGTGTTCTGTCTCCGAACTTTCTGTTTTTTATTCTTTGACTTCATCACGTTTTAAATGTTGTTTTGATTTGACTTTTATTATTACCTTTAACTCAGGGGTGTCAAACTTCAATTTGAACGTTTTTGTTAAAGATTAAATGACTGTTTTTATTCTAGTGGGGGAAAAACAAAAATGTGTGAATGTGTCACAGGGCAGAGGAATGAGCTACCAGAACCTTTTCTGTCTTTTTACACATTCAACATACACAGAAATGCGTTGTTGAAATCGCAGTTCTTTTAAAATATCTCAGGGATTGAATGTTCAGCTAAATGTTGTTACACTGACAGAAAGGGCAGTTTCAGCGCTGGGCTGCATGTAGCTCACAGTATAAAGTGATTTTGACGTTCCTGTTTTAAATTACTGGTTCTTAGTGCTTTTTCTACTCGCCTTGAGCACTCAAAGCGCTTTATACAACATGCAATAAATTAGACGTGACTGTAGGGTCCTTTACAAACATCTGCATGTGATGAGCTGTGAGTGAAACCAGGAGGAAACCTCGTCCTTAGTCAAGAGAGCAGTTTCTGATGCTTCAAGAATGGGAACATGAGAGGCTTGAGAGGTGCAACAGACCCATTTTTAACACCGCGGTTGTTTTAAGAGAACATTTTGTGCAATTAGCAAAGCAGCAAGACTGCCAGCTGAAGCAGGACCATCAATCAGGAAACGCAGGGAACTGCCCCGTGCGGGGGCATCAAACCTGAAGGCCCGGGCTCACTGTGTGCTCTTTGTGTTTTTGTATGCAGTTTAATTAATTTAATTTAACCCTTTCAGGCATGAATTATGACAACCTCAATCAGGATCTTTCTCTTAAGTATTTTTATTCATCTTTAAAAATATGTATTTCTCAAAGAGTTTTTTACATGTCCACTTAGGTGGACAACATACGTTTTGACAAACGAATCAATAATATAATATGTCTGTTGTGTTTATGTGCAAGTCTACCATCAACACTGACACAAATACAAGAAAACAACCTTTGAATCCACTGCAGTGACCACTATGTGTGAAAGGGTTAATTATTATTGTTAGCAGTGTTAATGTTAAGGACGTTTTATTTTTGCTCTTAGGTTACATCAGTGGATCTGTAAAGAGCGCACACGTGGCTGAGGGGAAAATATGTGAGTGCCGAGGCAATCAGTAGTGCAGCGGTCCCTCGTTTATCACGGCGTTACGTTCTGAAACTAACCAGCGACAGGTGAAATCCACGAAGTAGCCAACTTTATTTTTTACAGTTATTATAGATGTTTAAAGGCTGTAAAACCCGTCACTACACACTTTATACACTTTTCCCAGACAGGCACGAACATTTTCACACTTTTCTCTCTTGTTTAAACTCTCAAAGTTCAAACCTTCGTAGAAAAATAAGTCCAGGATTATAGAAGGAAACCAAAGGAGTGCAAAACGTTTCTTCAACATTGTTGTGTTTGTCGTGGAGAAAACTTACAAACCTACAGTACAGTCACACTTCTAGCATCGAAGATTTATTTGACAAACTGAACGCATTCTGTACTGTACAGAAGACACGCGGAGGAGATTGATTGACAATGGTCTACAGCCAATCAGGACGCGGATCAAAACAACAAAACAAAACAAAAAACATGGAAAATTGCACAAAAAAAAGGCTGCGAAAGGTGAACCGCGTTATAGCGAGGGACCACTGTATCTGTGAGAGAACATCAGCTAAACATGTTCAGGTAGACCTGGCATCAAGTCTGGTATGGCTGTTTTTAGTGGGACCACAAAATCTTCCAAATGTTGCAACTAAACTAAAAAGGTTTAGTTGTGCTTAAATGTTGCATGCATGCATTAATTGGAACATGCATGGTGCAATAAATAAACTGTGACACAAACATGTAGAAACCTGGGAGGATGTAGTCCTTGAGCATACACGAGTACAAACGGACAATATTTGTTTGGGCCTAAATCTGCTGAACGTGTCCATCGCAGTGAGCAGACGAAGTGCAACGCAGAGTGCTCATTTCTAAAAAGTAATCGATGACAGAACCTTCAGAGGCGGCTAAATTTATTCAAAGTAAAAACCATTTTGTTTTCTCTACGCGCAGCAGCCAGGCTGATTAACGTGAGACACAAAGGCAGTGAGTCAACCACTCCATCTCTGTTAGGACCTCTCCATCTATCAGGCTGGCTGCATGCTAACATGGGCGTGGAGTTTGGAAGAGAGTTGAGTGACACGTTGTTAAGAGTCTTTCTCTCCGGCTGGATTTATAACTACGAAGGAAATGCAGCAGTTTGTTTTGCAGTAGGCTTTTAAGAATATGTAAATGATCTGAAGGGAGGCTGGAAGACGAAGAATGATGGTGGATTCCATTATTGGCACTATCACAAGCACTGCAGACAGAAACATTAAAGAAATGAATATAAGAATAACTCACTACAGATAAGAGAGAGCAGACAGGGTGAGTCATTACTCTGACGTACTCAACCACACCTGGAGGGTTTGTTAAAGTTTAAAAGCGTCCTGAGGAGCGTGATGGCTCATTGTGGACAAAAACATTGTTCCTGATAAATAAACCACACGAGTGGCTGCAGACAGTCATTTTATAACCCGTTCTTGATCTGTGGATCAGACGCTCTTCTGTACTTGATGGAAGCCACACTCTCATGGTCGTATTTAATGGCTTCTGCAGTCAGAAACGGTGCCACCGCTCTGCATTAGCATCCAGAAGAAGAGCATCTGCAGGGCAACAGTTAGCTGCACGCCACTGTGTGTTCTTAGCCTCACGTGTCATGTGACACTTCATTAGGAAGATCGTTAAAACATACAGAACAACAGAGCTTTCAGAGGTGAGCGTGTCCATGTGTCTGTGTGACGTTTGAGAAACTGGTGCACTCATAAATATGCCAAGCAGCAGCAGAGAAAGCACTCTCAACGATTAAGTCTGCCTCAATCAGAATATGCAGGTTTGTTTTAATGGGGCTGTAGCGAGGAAACTGTCCTCTAGTCAGAGCCATAAGGGTCTGTATCAGCTAGATCAAACCCACTGACTCCCACTTGAGACTAAGGCTACAGAAGGTTTATCACCCATGTCCAGATCGCCCAGTTTAAGAGTCTGCTTTTTGCTAGGCTTGGCTCCAGACAAAACTAACCCCAGCCCATTACTCATGCTGCTAACAGCCAGCCAGTTTCCTGCCAGTTAATTTCCACTCAGTTTTCCAGTTCACCAGTGTAGAACCTCCAGAACCCAACAGTTCCCCGCCCGACCGTGTCCCCACGTCTTTGCGGTCCATTTTTCCATGGCTTTATTTGGCTCTTTGGTTTAACTTGTTCAAGTTGAATTAATTGACTTTGACAGGTAGCTACGGCTGTAGCCTCCTGTGGACCGAATGAAGTTTGTGATGCCATGAATGTGAGTTGGTGCAGATCCTCAACATTATTCTCAACAACAGAAACTATATATTTCTTTCTGTCTCTACTTTCTCTCCTTTTTTTAACAGTGTGCTGCAGGACAACTCGTGTTTCATTAAAACAATATGTCACTTTGAAATGGAGCAACAGAGAATGCCCCAGGAAGACAGTTTACCTGGGGTTTGTTGGGGTGTCCAATCAATGCTGCAGGTGGAGGGGAGGCAGAACTGGATCCCTGAAAACAAGGGAGTGATGGGATATTCAGAAGAGAGGGCGTATTTGCCCAAACACACAGTATAATGGATTAACAATACAAAAAGCCATACTTAGATTGGATCCAAGAACAAACTGCAGGATATGAGGATCATCTGGCACAGTGGGAGTTTGTGCTTTATGATTGCTCCTATTGCAGCAGGATGAGCGTCGTGATAGAGTACCATCATTATAATAGTGTAGAAGTGCCCGATTGTTCCCGTTAACACCAAGCAGTAAGCATCTTCTTTACTTCAACTCATTTTCTGATATTTGCTGGGTTATCAGTTATTTTCAGACTTTATTGAGGACACAGATCACGAGTGGGTCCACAGAACAACAATGATCATTTGTCTTTTATTTACGATGACAGCATGACCTCTACAGTTTATCACACTTTATCTTAAATCATAAAAAAATACTAATGCAAGAAAGTGAGGTTGTGATAACCCCGTCTAATGTAAAGTACCTGATGAAGTGAAAAATAATGATCGTATTTGTCACCGTTTGACTTGCTGTCAGAAAAGGTCTCAGCGCTTCCATCCAATTGAACCGACCTTCATCTTGATGAAATTTGAAAATGAAATGAGTCTACAGCAGGAAGCAGTCGAAGCCATTTTGTAAATTAAGATTGGGCAGATAACTTGAGGCCACTGGCTTTTTTTGGTTTGTAATAATATAACAGTAAATACCGTGTTGTGACACACTCAGGTCGGCCGGCGCGTTAGCCGAACACACCTGCATCATTCTGTCTGTTCCAGCAGGAAAAGCCTGGCTTTACGTGCCGTTGCACGCTGCATCCTACAGCACTTTATTTTTGGATGATATGCTACAAATAAAAATATTACCATTACAGTGCATAATAAATAGTGAGCTACTTCTAGTTACGATCTTTGCAAAGGTAAAGGAAGAGAGCCAGGAGAAGAAGAAAAGTGGAGCACTTTATGTCAGTAAAATGAATTCAACAGTAGAACCTAATTAACTTCCCTCCCCTTTGAAAACCTCTCACATTCATCTAATTTAGCAAACTTTAATAAAGTGCTGTGCGCACATTCGACTCAAAACAACAGACGAAAATCCTTTTCTGGCAGCTCACTGATGTTCTGCTGAAAGATCCTTTTTATTCCGTGCACTTTATCAGAGCGCAGACTTCAGTGGGCGACTCCACATAGAGCGCATTAATTGGACAGAGAGCGCAGATATATCTTCTGATTTTTGCCTGGCTGTTCGTTGCAGAATTCTGCGTCTTCGGTGGTACGTAGGCTCCTTTCATTGCAACTGAATGTCGAAATGAAGCTATGAATAGAACCGAGTACCTACAGTGAGGCACTGCATATGAAACACAAGGAAATATGGAGGCCATCTGTCATGCACCATTACTACATTATTTTCATCAGTCAGTATCACACATGTGGAAATGCAGCACTACGGTGTGACACATACCTCTTTTCAGGAAGGAATACAATTCGGCATGTCATCACACTTATGTCCCAGTACATTCTCAGTCTTTGATTCCTGAGCGTTAGGATGATAGCTTACAGTAAAAAATACATCATCACCTCTGAGCAAAGCCTGTTATTCCAGTGTCAGACAAATGTAATAATTTAGAACGTCTCTGATGAATTCATCCGTACAGTCCAGAAAATGTGTGCATGTTTGATAGCAAACTGTATGTGTATGCAGGTAACGGTAGCTACATACTGTGACTCTACTGGTTTGCAATTTTAGTTGGGAATTATTGTAAATGCAGAATTATTTTCCAACAAAATGCAGCTGTATGCAAAAGTCTGCCCACACCTTATTTTACCTAATGATGATTGCTAATGAATCCAGAGGGCTGAGACGTCAGTGATGTTAGCAGATGCAAACCTCTGCATGTGGCACATATATTTTTTATTATTTTTAAGCCACTGAATTTAAAAAAGTTATTTTTTCTAACACCTGTGCACTGCTGAGGTTGCATTCACTGTAAAATATCAACAGAATAAACAATTTGCTCAAACTTTTGCAAACAGCTGTAACAGTAGAGGATCCCAGTTCCACTCAGCATTGTGCAAACATAATTTCTCATGTTCTTCTCTCTTTAAACCCGTCCATCCAACAGCTCACATAGTAAACAGTATCTCTTTATATAGTTATATGATAACTGCCAATATTTACTTCACCCCACTTTAGAGTGACAATGCAAGTAGAGCTCAAAATAGGTCAAAAAAAAGGAAAGTTGCCATAATCATTGCAAAGACTGCTGTGACCTTGTACACTCTGGACTGTTTCTACAGTCTATTAGTGAGCTCTTAAAAGAGTCTCTTAAAATAAATGTGTACAGCATTTGTTATGCAGGATCATCCATTGATTTGAACCAGCACTCTGAGGATGAGGAGTCCTTTCCTGGGAGATGATTCACATCAGAGATGACAACTGCTTCAGAGAGCTTCGTACTGCTTTCAGTGAATGTTTATGAAACATTATTGTTCAGTGCATTTATCACTGCAGGAGTTTATGACATTCTCGCACTGTGTTGCAGTCCATGAAATGCAGTTTTGCTGCTACCAATGCAGTCTTTTTCCATGGACGATGTAGAAGGAAGTTCTTGCTTGAATGCCAACAATCCCATGACATTTCGATGCGCACGTCGCTGTAAGTGCACTGGCAGCTACAAACCAAAAGCTATAAAGATAATTTTCAGCTACATTTCGCCTGCTGAGAATGAGGTATGAGCTCACAGAGTGAGAGACACATATGTGATTTCTGCGCTGTTGTACTCGTATCTGCCACTCCACAGTTCTACACTCGCACTCCTGTACATCAAGTCTCGCCTGTGGCCCCTCTTCTGCCACCTGTACCACAAAAAGGCCTGCTCAGATGAAGCTGCTTCTGGACTGCCTGGGACATCCTCCTCCACAGGTCCCACAGTCATATGGGATACAGCCACACACTCCAGTATCTCTGCTGTAACATCATCTGACTCCATGGATAGCAGGTCCTCTGAGGTTATCTCTTGGAGATCTGGGCCTGATGATAGAACAGGTTCTGAGGCTGGACTTGTGGGTCCAAAGTCTAGTTCCAGTGATGTATCAGGAGATACCGAACTAGGAGGGGATATTGTGACAGTGACCTGTGGTAGGATGTCATGTAATCCCGGGGCTACGTCCTGAGACATGTGATACTCCGTAGCTGGGTCCAAACAGACAAACTCTGTTGATTCTGAAGGATCCAAAGGGCCCATTGCAGCAGGGTCAACAGATGGTAGAGGTGAACTTGAACTGTCTGACTGGTACATGGGTGGGTCTAAATCCTCTACATTTGATAAAGAGTCAACACTAATGTCAAAAGGCTCTGGTTCAGGATCCATAAACACTGAGTCCAGATCATCTTGATCCAGGGAAGTCAGCATGACCAAGTCAAAATGGACCAGATCAGCGTGATATATAGTGGTGGTGTCCAGTGGTTCAGGAAGAGGTGGCCAGTCTGAGTCTTGAGACTCTTGAGATTCAGGGTTTGGTGGAGTTTCTACAGAGCTGGAAGCAAAAGTTGAGACGGATGTTTTCTCCTCATCAGGGAGGTCGGAAGGATGATCGGGAAAGGTGATAATGGGATCTGGATCTGTGACACTGCCGGGTGGACTCGCAGGATCGTCCGAGTCAAGATACTCTGACACAACAATAGAAGGACATGTTATGCCGCTATCCAAATCAGACAGTGTAACGGGATCAAACTGAGGAGTTGGTGCATCACAGACTGAGGTTGAGCCTTGACTAATGGATACGGGCGATTCTGATGGTTGAAGTTCTTCTTGTGTTGGGTCTGAGGAATCTGTATTTTCCAGTGCTGAATATGTTGAGGACGCAGCAGTAGGATCTTGAGGGCCTGAATCTGGTTTGTCCACAGTGACAACATCTGGAGACTCTGAATCTGACATGACGTCATAATCCTGTTCATCTGGTGGTGACACCGTAACTACAGGGACTGGGTATGGCAGCTGTATCGTATCCTTGTGAATTTGCTTGGAGTCTGGGGGGTTTGTGTTATCTGTGAAAGATGGTTCAGATTGGGGTAGGAAATTATTACGTGGACCTACATCTGTTTGTTGTGGAGTGATTACCATTTCCTGTTCAGGTGTTGATGAACCCTGAGGACTCTCAGGGGCTGTTTCTAAAGAAAGTGGCGCTGTACCGTGGGTGGTGAGTGTTGGCTCATTAGTGGCCATGTCAGAGGAGCTTAGAACTGCACCGTCGACTGCAAGCTCCGATTCAGCTCTGGTGAGCACAGCAGTAACATCAAGTGTCTCTGGCTTGACTGCTCGAACAGAGACAGGAAGTATTGGATCCAAAGAAAGTGGTATGGCACTTTCTACGTACATTGACTGTGGAGAGGCAAGAATGCTCGGGTCCATCGAGAGCTGTTTTGGCAGGCCTCGGCGGGCCCCTTTCTTTTCGTCTTTTTCTTCTGGACAATTAACAGCTGCATCTGCAGTGCTCTGCCTGACCAAGACTTTGCTGCGGGCCTGGGTCCCCACCGATACCTTGGATATTTGGGGCTTTTTCTCTCTAGCCCCCCCAGCGCCTCCATCTGCAGTGGAGGTTCCAAATCTTCCTGCCCCGGGCCCGGGTCCAGGCCCCGATCCCGCTCCAGGCCATGCCCTTGTTCCTGTCCCTGTACTAGGTCCAGCTCCTGCACCCAAGCCTGCCCCAGCTCCAGCGGCCATGTTGCCTCCCTGGGGAGACCATGTGTTATAATGCTGCGTGAAAGTGTTGAAATTACTGTTGAAAGCACGAAGTTCTTTACAGAGGTCCCTCCTGAGTTCAGCTAGCTCTCGACGCATGGCCGAGACCTCTTCCTTCCACTGCATGCTGATAGCGGCAGCCAGTGTAGCAGACTCTTTGATACTGGCCTGGATGGCCTTTGGTGATGGCCGTTCTGGAGCACTAGCTCCAGTGGATCTGAAGAGGCTCGGAGAAACAGGTGGTCCAGACAAGGGTTTGGCTGTAGCCCCCGTGTTGTCTTGGTGGTAAAGCCCGTCTCTTCTGATGGGGCAGCCTAGATCATCATGAGTCAGAGGGACTGTGTCTGCCAAATCCTCATGTATTCTGTCCTGGTCAGGTAAACAAGAGTCTTCCTGCACATAATTTCTGTCTGGAAGACAAATGTAGATATATATATCTGTAATATGGCCAAAGGTGTGAGCAGCTGGAGAGAATGTGCTTTTTATTGTCACAATGCAGTAACATCAAGTCATGCACTGAATGCCATGAGTCAAAATAAGATAATAGCTGAAATGTACAGCAGTGATTATTGTGCCAATCTCCTCGTGTGACTCCCACAGATGTATAGCAACAATATGTCATATTAGCATTTAGACAGCACTCCCATTTTGACTCATTTATGCTGATGGTTTACACTGCCTTCTCATCCTTAATTTCTAGCATGCATTCTTCACATCTTTTCAATGCACAAAGCTGAAACTCCTAGCTCCTGGAACACATCATAGAGAATGGACAATTTCGTCTAATCAGCGAGGTGTGAGAACAGTCCTTGCGTGCTCTTCGGCTTCCGTTTGAGGTAAGGAAATGTGAACTTTGTGCAGTGAAAAGAGGCAAAGATGAGCAAAGATTCCAAAGCTTTTCTCATCAATCAGGAAGTACAGTATGAACCCTATTGAAAATGTCAAGTCCAGTTTGACTGACTAAATCGACTTGCCCCATTTCCAAAACTGGGGCAAAATGCATTGCACCAAACTCTTAAGAGATCTTTGAGTTTACTGAGAAAGCAGTGTAAGCAAACATTTATGGGTATGAAGAATTGATCATAAGCACATCTCCAGATGTCCACACCTCTAACTCTCCCTATTATAGCCCATATAGTTGGATCATGAATCTACTGTGGGAGGAGGTGGAATCCACTTGGACTTCTTGTCCGAGCCGTTTCTCTTCTGTTCTTCCCACATTCTTCATCTGTACAAGGACGTATCCTTTCCTCTGTGAATCCAGCAATCAGGGAATTGTTGAAACCAGCAACAGCTTACAATTTTTATAATGAATGCTCAGTATCAGAAGTAAATGCATGTTTCAGCTGAGTAATTTGCACGTGTGATACATATGACTAACTAGTGCGACAGTTCGGTTACTGCTGTAGTCAGCTGATCCGAGTGTAGACACAACTGTCTGCAGCTCTGTAATATCATCTCGTTGTGCGTAAACGTGAGCTTGAGACAAAATAACTTGTGTGAATTAAACAGTCTGTGAGTGAAAAGCTGCTTTTGCAGCACCGTGTAAACTCGCTTCAAGTAAAAACTTCATGTGGTGTTTCCAGCGAGACGATAAAGCTGCGTGCTCTCTGTCACCATGTGGCACAACAAAGAAATATATGCAGTGGAAAAAGCAGCAGGTGTCCTTATTCTGACCTGATTTTTATTTCAGACACTTTCCATTTGTGATTTTCAATAGGGTTCATAGCTTTACTCTTTGATGCATCCAGTGGATGAGCAGATGAAGCACTGTATCCAAAGTACGAACAGCTCACAACTGGTCACTACAAATGCCTCAGTAAAAATGAACACATACAAGAATGATTCATGCAAATATTCTGAAACTGTTTGACAGTATGAGTTGGCACTAATAGTCTTTATGTATCCATAACCACACATCCTTGTTAAAATAAAACGTATTAGTGTCACATGTCCACTAATATATTGTGCAGATTTATGTTTAACCATGGTTACCTGTGGTGGACCTGATGGTGGAGGTGACGGTGGAGGCCATGGGGGGAATGCAGTCGTCGTCTTGGGAGTAGCCAGCCTGGATGGCTCGCAGGTAGCTGTGGCTCCGGGTTCGGAAGCAGCCGGGCAGGTCCAAAGCGTCCATGGCCTGGGATTCCACCTCGCTGAACACAGACTCGCACACAGACTCAAACTGGCCGTTAATTTCTGTTTCACTCACCTGAGAGAAACAAAGCCATAAATAAGCTCCATCGATCGAGGGTAGTGAGGATACATATTTTTATCGGTTGGCTGTAAACCTCCACTTTTTCTCACTTTAAAATCATAAAGAAGCAGAGTCTGTGAGAAGGTTCGTGGAGTCAAGGTCGTACACTGTCAGAGAGTTTGTGACACATTTGTTGTTGGATTTGATGTGAATGCCTTTAAAACAGCAGAAACTGTTTAACCGTTATCTCTCCACTCTCATTTGGCAATATCAGGAATCAAAGATAAACATCTTGTTCGACTGGGATTAGGAATTAGAGGAAGTTTAGTTGAAATGCTGGGACTCCAAGCAAATCAATATCTCTCTTTTACTAAGGAGATGAATATCTCAGCAAGCCCCACTGGAATCCTTTAATTTGTCCAGATAAACAATGTGCGGTAAAGTGTTGAGACTAAATTTATGTCAGAAAAATTATGCCTGGGCTTTGAAAACAATACTCAGTGCCGTGACAATGAAACTGGGAGAATCGTCCTCTTTAAGTGGGATTTTAAATGAAATGACTTTATTAAATTTTCCTGGAAATTAAAGCCAACCCCTCTGGCTCCCTCGGGGATCCAGGAAAATCTGTGCAAACCTAAAGGATGCGCACTCACCTGGCTCACTTGGCTAACACAGCTAGCCTGACTGAGGGTGCTGACAGCCCGCATATAGCTCTGATTCCTGGAGCGAAACTTGGGTGAGTTGTAGTTGGTGGAGGGATCCAGGGCAATGCTTGGGTGCATGTCCCTGGTGGCTTGCAAGTGGTAGCTCTGACTGAACAGAGAGAGAGACAAAGAAAAGCAGGACAGGAGTGGGACTACAGCCATAAAGCAAATCAATTAAATATAATCTGACTGATAAACAAGCATTTTGTGTAACACGATGAAGAATTACTAAGCACAGCTGGCTGAGCTTGAGAGGGAGGCTGGATGACACCGTGGCTCTTAGGCTGTCTCTTCCTGTTCCCCCCCGCTACATTCATTCGTGTCCTTAGAAAGGCACTTTGATTTTTGTCGTGCTGAAACATCCAATCAGTGCTTGGAAATGAGGGAAATGCAAATCAGGGGCTAGTTAGTGAGCAAGCACTTTGGAGAGCACCCCAGTGTCAGCCAGGTCAATTAAACGTGCTCCCCCAGCAGTGCAGGAGAGGTGCTCAGAAACCCACGGCTGGTTAGGAATCTGCCGAAGAGAAAATGACTCGGAAGAAATGTGCTTTAAGTAAAATAAAGAATACTATGTGAGCCGCTTTTGGAATAGCAAAGTGAGGTTGGGTTCCCTCCGCCAGATCTATTTCTAATGACAGGCCGGGATGAGTAAGCAGTTTCTGGGCTTTTTATAGAGATAAACGCTGGTGTTTGGCAGCATGAAAATGCCAGTGTGATTAAAAGTCTCCCAATCCATCTTGTGATGCTGTAGCAAGGCCCTGCGTATTTGCAAAGTAATATCAACTTTCTGAACACCCAAAGACATGCTGGGGTAGAAACACCCAGCGATTAAGTGTAAATGTTGTGGTACAAGCACCACATATCTTATTTTTAGCACTATATTTAAAAAAAAACTCTAAAAGCACGCGGATGTAAAGAACAGCAGGAAAAATCAAATCTGCATTGTGTGCATCATTGCCTTGTGCTTTGGCAGTATGAGCAGATTGCCCCAGGTGACCTTTCATTGACTGGTCTTGAGTGTTTGCTCTGTAAGGCGTCCATATTGAATATGTCAGCAGGGCGGCGAGCCAGCTGGCTCTGACATCTGACCGCTGCAACGTGGCAGCAACAGAGAGGCAAGGGGAGGAGCTGAACCTGTATTCACCTCAAGTCTGCAGCAAAATTGGTGATGTAGTTACGCATGTCACTGTTGATTTTATCCAGGCGGTAAGAGCTGTGGGTAGAGAAGAAAACAGAGTTACTGGGTCCCACAAGGAGCTGTTGGATGGATGTGACATCACGGAATGTTTGCTTGGGAATTCTCACCAAAGCGCCGCAAACATTAGGGTGACACCGTATGACCGTCATGGCGTTTGTGTGATGAGGAAAGTGGGTGGATGCTACAGTTAGAGTCAGCTGGCAGGTTGAGACAATGTAACACGTTCACACAACGAATGGCAACATGAGGATTGCGGTACGAGTTGGTCCACAGTCGGTGAAGAAAAAAAAGGATCTGATGATGAATGCTGAACACCACAGCTACAGTGAAGCATCAATCACATTCTCTTTCTCTGTGTGGCTAATTACATTTGGTTAATTGAGCTAAATGAGGACAAAAACACTTTAAACTTTAAAGCTTTTAGCTGACAAGATCAGATAGAAGTGCACCGGCTGATGCTTGAAATGTGCATGACTTCGCCCATCGCTGCCTGTAGAGCTGTCTATTATCAGCAGCAGAGTGAAGGGAGGCTGTTTTGAGAATGCGTCAGCCCTTTATCAAATCATGCCACAGCAAATTTCCTCTAATGTTTCTGATTGGTACTAATGCACTTCCATTGTTGGCCAATATCACAACAGGGGATGATGGGAATCTCACACTTCCTGCTTTTTACGCTGCCAGTGAAAGTGCTGTTAGTGGTTAAACAACGTGCATTTTAAGCCGAAACCATTTCATCCTGGAGCAAAAATTCAAATAATCATTTGATTTAAGGGAACATTAAAAGAACGGGGACAAAAATTGGGAAACATGCTTGGGCGTAGGTGTGTTTGATAAAGAGCAACGCCCTGCAGAGATCTTTACTGCAAATGTTTTCTAGGGTTTTGTCAGTGTGGTGCAAGAAAGCAGCAATCCTGAAATACCTTAAAGAGGTGAGAATGTGAACAGCAGAAAATTGAGTTTAATGCACCTGCAATCGCCGAACCAAGACGACTCACAGCTGTCTGTGATAAGCTCTCGTATATGCTGTTTAAGCCATGAGCGCCAGCATCCAGGAGGCTGCGGTCGTCGAGAACGAGACGCTATGTCGTGGAAGATTAAAAACGCTCATTTTGCTACAGTGCTTTTGTTATACTAGAAATAGAGGCACAAAAGTGAAGAGACGAAGCTCTGGAAACAGAAAAGCAGCATATCTATGCATGACACGTCCCACGCAGCCACGAATCAATGAATTGGAATTCCGCTCTGACCTTGAGATCTGAGGGAGAAACGCTCAAACACAATGCCATCTAAATGAGTAATTACAGTATGTTGAATCAAGAATTATCGAAAGCTTTGCCAGTGTTAACTCTGATTAATTATAACAGCCGGGAGCCGAACAAATGCGAGTTTTTTTGGAAAGTGCCGTAAATGCGCGTGATTGATCAGCTTGTGCGATCAAAGTCAAAGTGTCGTTTAAAGACAGGGTGGCGGCGACAGATGTCAAGTGGAGATGTGCGTGTGCGTGTGCACGCGTGTCAGCGCACCCCGTTATCAGATGTGACATATGATTACTGATTGACTCATTATGCTAATGACTCATAGTGAAGTTTGCCACATGCCATTCAGTTCATCATCATTAATACTTTCTTTAAATATCTTTGGCAGGTCTGACCACGGCACAAACAGCCATTCATATTCATTTCATCGCAGCTGTCAGCTTTACAGGACGCATGCGGCCCGGGCAGGCGTGGGGCGAGCGGATGATTATCTAAAACAATCACCTATCTTCACTTCTCGGCTCCACCCGCTCAGCGAAGCAGCGATGCATTCTTTACTGGTGAGGCGAACAAAGAGGCGACCCCGTCAAACACGAGAGCCCGGAAGAGTGAGGCGAGGTGACACGACTCGACAGGCTGTTCTCGCTTTAACGTGATTTGCTTCAGGGACCTGGTGCTGTCAAATTTGTGTTTGGCCAATCTGTACGCCCCCAGAGGGACATCGAATTGGTACGAGTGCAGAGGAAATCCAACCTGCGCCACTTCTGTCTTAGATCCAATCTAATTCCATCCCACGAGGCCGTTGAACCACAACAGCCTCAGAGCTCTCACATCTTTGACATCATTTACAAACATGGAGCGCAGCGCTACGGTGACACAAGCTGAAAGTGGTCAGACTTTGAAGCACCTCTTGAGATATTAACGTGCTCAGACAATTAAGAAGTATCACTGGTTTAAAATATCACCTGGTGGCTTAATTATGCAACCAAATTAAGTCTTCTTCAGGTCTAATTTCTTTTCAAATTATTGACTTAAAGTGTTCAAGTGTAAAAAGCATCTTTGCCAGTGCTGCATGCAGAGTATAGGCCAGTCAGAAAAACACTTTGAGGGCTGATTTATAAACCTCGGCGCGCTCTTTCATATACAAATAATACACAAAACTTTCAGTCATGACAGTGTTTAGATTAAAGCTGCAGGTCGATCCGTGTCTCCAAGCTGACCTTCTCACATGTTCTTGTGCCTGAAAAAACTTCAAGAGGATAATAAAAATAATAATCATATATAATAATAGTTCAGGTCTTTAAATGTTTCAGGCATCTTGTACTACGGGGTCTTTTGATGTCTGATCTCTGTAGATTTGAAAGTCTATGAAAAGCACAGTTTAGAAGTTCGGGGACTGATCTGATTTACTGCTTTACTGCCACTTTATTAGGTACACCTTGCTAGTACCATGATGGACCCTTTTTCTTTAATTCTTCGTGCTTCAACAGGTTGCTGGAAACATTCCTCTGAGATTTTGGTCCATGTTAGCACGACAGCATCACACAGCTGCACTTCTGTACCACCACAACCCAAAGAAGCCAGTCTGAGATGATCTGAGCTTCGTGACTCGGTGCGCAATCCTGCTGAAAGCATCTATCAAAATATCCGCCACTACACCACCAGCAACCTCCACCAGTGAAACCAGGCAGGATGGAGCCATGCTTTCATGGTCTTTACAACAGATTCTGACCATGCCATATAAATGTTGTAGTAGAAATCAGAATTTCGGCATCTTTTCTCTCTCCATCGCTCTTCTCCTCTATTTTTCTTCTCCTTCTGTTAACTGTCTTCCTAACCTCTCTTTCTTTCTCTTCCCTGTCCCCCGGTCCTGTCCTTTCTGATTGTAACAACTCAAAATGAAAAAAATAAAATAAAACCTGAAAAATAAATTATAATAATAAAGGTCAAATAAAATAAGACAATCAAGTGGACCAGTATAGCAAATGCTGTAATGTCTACTTGGGGAAATAAATCTGCTGGGCATTTTTCTTGGCCTTCAGGCAATAATTCTGATCCACGTCCAAATCATATCTGACAGATATTAAAACTTAAATATGTAAAAACACATTTTTATCCAACAGTTTTATTTATTTACTTTCATCACGTTTATATTTATGGTTCTTATTTGTTTGAAAAACAAAGTGAACTCGTAAACAAACACTGTGATTGTATTGTTCTGTACTCAAACCGTAATTCAATCATTCACAGTGTAGGAATTAGTATGTTAATGTAATTGAAAAACCTATGGCCATAACCCGAGGTTAATGGCATCATCAAAAACTAATTGGGGTCACGAGTTATCAAGCCTGGTGTTCAATCAATGACACAGGCTTGCAGGAGTGGGTCAGAGCTACTGTAACACACTCGGGCAATTTCAGTGTGCTCTTCACAAGGATGTGAAGTGCGAGTTGGCTTGGAGGAGAGAGATCTCTGAAACGTTGGCTTCAATCTTCTCACTGAGGGTTTCAGTATTAAACAAGCTGCATATAGAGACCGTTTAAGGCTGGGGCTACGCGCCCCACATGTTGGGATAGCTAACGATAATTATTTTAACTATAGACAGATTTAATAAAAACAACACACAGCATTACGTTAGCATGCAAATACCACTGACTGCTGACATACATCAACTAAGAAGTGGAATATTCGTGTATTTGTGGCAGTTTTGCCGTTGTTTGCTCACACTAAGAGTAAACTGATTTTGTCACGTGTTTTAAAGGTTAATATCAGGGTTTAGTGGCGGCAGGCTGATGCAGCAGGACAATAAACCTTGAACTAAAATTCCATCTTTTGAAGCGGAGCGGTCGGAGCCCTAACCTTAACCTGACGTAGATGTTGTGGAATTACCTCAGGAGAGCCGTTCGCACAAGATTAAAGTGCACTGCTGAGCGGAAGCAATTCCGTAAGGAAGAATGAGGTCCGCGGTTTGTTGTGCAAGCTTTTTAAAAAGCCGCTGATTGGAGCATTTTCTGTCTGGATAAAATGTTTCCGTTACCTCACACATCTTTGCCATTTCTCTACTGCAACTTCACTTCCAGTATAACGCATGTACACCTGCTCATATAACCAGGCTCTTTTAGTGCCGCGCTAAATCAATGCCAAGCTGTTGGATGCCACATTATGATGTTCTCAGAGCGCGATCAGTGGAGTATTAGTACTCTTCAGTAATGACACCTTTGGGGACGTTCCTGGCATTTAAATGAATGCACTGACCAACCTTCTCCCGCAGACTAAATGCCATCAATGGACTGGGAGTCAGGCCCCACAGTCTGATCCATGAGTGTCAATACTTTTCTTTCAGCAGAGCCCAGCAGACTTGGTCTAACCGCTGAGAGGGCTATTATTCAGAAGAGCCTTGGAGGACAATAACTGCAACTGATAGCCCTTCCTGCTGTTGCATCTTCATAAATCATTCACTGTTTATGTCTATTTAAAACGGACGGTGATGAAAGTTTTGCAAGGTGTGACAAAAGTTGCATATCTCACTGATTACACAGAAAGAGCTTCTGAGGTAGATGTTAACATGGCCAGACTCCTCATATCAGCATGATCCTCGCTGATCACCGACCATAACATTTCATTTGTCAGTATATATCCTCTGGATCACATATCTGGCTTATTATGTAGTCATGAAAGAGAAGTGTTTAACAGTAGAAGCTGGTTTCTGGATATCTGCTGACCTACTTCCTGTTCTGTTATCCTGCAGAGAGACGTCGCAAACACTTTGCCAGAAAAGCTCGCAATTAATCCTTCTGCTGTGCGTGTGTGTCTGTGTTTTCGCGAGGGTCGGGTTAATAGTGGCGAGGTGCATTAATGGATTCCGTGGGTGTTGCCCATGGACGTTTCCACGCTTCTGTGGAAAAAAACAAAACCGTGTGATGGAAAAGCTTTTTAAAAACCTGCCTGAAGAGCGAGAGGGACTCATCGGTGTATGTGGGTCGTGCATCTTACTGTGACTGTCTGACAGTGCATACCACAAACTACGGGGCTGTCACCGGCCACACTGCACACTGAGGTCAGACGCAAGGTCATCTTTGCATAATGCCTCCAATTTATGTCATTATTTGCTTTTAGGCTTGTGCAGACCCGAAGCTGAGCAGACAGACAGTGTGATTTATGCAGAAGTCTCAGCAGCCCTGTGATGAATTTTTCCTACCCGCTCATCCCCGAGTGGAACACATGGCGCGAAGGAGAAGCTGAACAGGATATACTTACATTATGCAGCAGAGGCAACATCAACCCTGAGCCACAGGGATCGTAGTTCTGCCCAAATTTCAAATAAATTTAGCAGAAAAGGTGTATTTTTTGTTAAGTATTACAGCTCTATAAACAGGCTCCTCCTATTCAGGGTTTATGTCTTTATTTAGCAGGGTGCTGGACAGTAGTGCTCATCCACCTCATGTTTAAGGTGCAGATAAAACTGAAGATGAAAAGGTGAATGGGGCCGGTGCAGAAGCCCCACCCACCAGTCACTGGTTAACATACCTGCCCCCCAAGCCCCAGGGTAGTTCAGTATTAATCCTGTTACCTGGGTAAGTTTGATCTAAAAATAAGTGTGGTCAAACAAGACCTCATTTTTCCTGCAGCATCACCTGCTCTGAGTGGCTTCTTCAGAGTTTAGTCCACCTTCCACATTATCCCCAATTTTGCCTCCAAGGTTCTTTCTGTCGTCACCTGAACTGAAGAGTACTCAAAGTGATTTTAGTTAACAGGAGAGAAAACAAGTGAATTAAAAGTTAGGTTTAGAAGTAAATCTAAAATGTTTTTACTCTTAAATCAAAGTCTTACTGGAAACACATCACAATCATCGGCGTAGATCACAGAACTACGGCAGAGTATTTGCCTTTGATCTTGTCTGCACATTTTGCCCCAAAGTCTTGATAAAAGGAAAGAAACCATCGAACTGTCTGAAAATGAGAAAGTAAAATCGGGCTTTCTGCGACTGAAGTTGAGGCTGCGGGTCTTTAATGGATCCCGCTGCACTCGACTCAAACCTTGGCTGATAAATGCACTCGATATATGAGAACAGAGGCAGATAAAAACACTGTGCTTTGGAAAAGCAGGTCTGGGATACCCTTTAAATTGTCACATTATTAAAATACACTTGTGAACCTCAGCTGTAATTACAGTTTTCACATTCTGCAGAGAGAAGAGAAAGATGGCTCCGCTGAGCGAGATGCAAAAGTGAATCTACTTTCTTTTATTGCCACCTTTTAGAAATGACTGAAAACGGGAATCTGCCAAACACAATGTCTTCATTTAGTGTCTGGAGTACTGTTAAAACACAATTTCAAAACATAAAAGGCAGTATAGTAAAATATGCAAAAAAGGAAACACTGGATAGAATATACAATTTAGTAATAGAAAGGATGTCGTGTGGTGCCTCTCATGTTTATCCAGAGCTGTGTTCAGGTGAACACCTCGTGAAGGATGAGGTGAGGCAAACAAAAACCGACAAATACCTCGAGTCTGTTGGTAACACAACCTAAGACTAAACGTTTAAGGACACAAACAGCACTCTTTAGTACAGGGGTCCCCAACTCCAGGCCAGTTTTTAGATGTGTCCTTGATCCAACACAGCTGATTCAAATGACCTCCTCAACATGTCTTGAAATTCTCCAGAGGCCTGGTAATGAACTCATCATTTGATTCAGGTGTGTTGACCCAGGGTGAGATCTAAAACCTGCAGGACACCGGCCCTCGAGGCCTGGAGTTGGGGACCCCTGCTTTAGTAACTCATTTTATTCTAATCTGATGGGTTTGTAAAAGCAATAATCAAAGTAACTCATCTCGCGTCTCTCTGTAACGTAACTGAGTGAGTGAGTTTTTCGCGTGTCTTCAGCTCATCTTATCTTGTAATCCTCTTATGAGTGTTTTCCTCCACCGACAAGTTATCGAAACAAAAGCCCTCAATTTCCTCACCATTTAATAGGACACGTCCCAGAAGAGTGCGCCTAACATGTTCTCACAGCTGATATGAAAACCCATGAAGGAATTCTGATGACTACAAGGTTCAGCCATCAGGGGCTTGACACCGACGTGCTGGTGGGTCAAATATGGAATATTAAAACTGGTGCTCGGGGGATTGTGCACGAGAGAGGTAACAGTGAGGCAACAATTGCTCCTAAAAACACAGATCCATGTTCATGATCTGAAATTACATCAGATGTCAGGAAAATGAACTCATTTAAAGAGGTTTTATGAAGCAATAAAGGTTCCAGAAGCTGGAAAAACTACACTTTTATATGAATGTCAGCTACTTTAAATCAGTCATGAATACAAAAAAAATAAAAAATTAAGTGTAATCATTGGGCAAACAGTGGTTTATCCAAGCTGCAAGGAGGCTGTTGTCTTATTTTTACTCTAATTTGACTGATGTATCTCCTAGCAGATGGCCCCGCCCCTCCCTGAGCCTGGTTCTGCCGGAGGTTTCTTCCTGTTAAAAGGGAGTTTTTCCTTCCCACTGTCGCCAAAGTGCTTGCTCATATGATTGTTGGGTTTTTTCTCTGTATGTGTTATTGTAGACTCTACCTTACAATATAAAGCACCTTGAGGTGACTGTCGTTGTGATTCCGCGCTGTGTAAATAAAATTGAACTGAACTGAATTGAACTAAAATATAAGGCACTCCTACTCTGACTTCACTTTTCAGACCTCTAACCCAAACCCCATCTGAAACATAAATTGGCACAAAACCGATAACCTCAGAAATAGTAACACCGTTTTGCATTTAAGTCACATTTTTATTTATGTTTGAATTTGAGTTTTCATTATTAGCAGACAGCTCACAAAGGTACGACTGTACCGGGGTTACAGTACGTAACCAATGGTTGTTGGTGACCTATAATGAATTAAAGTGAGAGGAAATAAAGGGATTTTTAGACTGTGGGTGAAAACAGCTGCGGCACACAAAGGAAACAGACAGAAAGCATGCAAGTCTATTATAATCAACCCTCAAACTAAACTTGTGAAAGTTTAAATGATAATTATATGAGCTGTTCAAAGTTTTTATGTTTGGCAGCCACAGCGGTATGAACCTCCACGGTTGGATCCCAGGGAAATCCTGGTGGACGTCGAGACATTGAACAGAGTGGGATCAATACTTAGAGTTTGACTGGTATCATTATGTTTTTCTTTCTTCTTTGCAAACATAAGAAACCATGTGTAGAATATGTGATTGCATAAACATACATGTTTATATTCAGGACATCAGATAGATGTTTGCTTTGTGCAGCACTACAGGGACACTGACTCACTAAACACGAGCCTGCAAGGAAAAACTAAAACCGAAAAAGAGCCAAACAACATTAATTACTAAAACTTGTAGCTAGCATGCGTCATACCTCTGGGAGTCCAGCAGATCCCTGGGTCTGATGATGGCCTTGACCAGGGCGTCTGGCCGCACTGACTTCTGAGGCGACATCTTGGGGCTGGAGTCTGACTCGCCGCTCTCCTCGTCCCCCATGGCTTTAACATAGCTGCTGCTCCGCATCCGACGGCAAGGTATCTCATCGTCCTTCCCACCTCCAGGATAACCCCCCCACTCATCCTGGGGCACCTTGTGGGTAGGGGGAATAACAAAGACACATAATGGTTGTTTTTGCTACTTGGGAGCAGAGCATTAATACGCTTTCATCTTTTAAAGCTTTTAAAACAGTGAGCGTTTGGAAGCATGTTTGAGCCGCTCCATGAATGTATTATTCATGATGTTTTTAGCTCCGCTTGTTCCTCACTAACTTCCCGGTTTCCTCCTTTAGCTGCTGATTGCTCTGTACTACAAAGCTGCTAACTTTGTTTTTTTACAGACTTTAAAATGCCCATAAATCTGAACCAAACCTCAGACCTGTCACTGCAGATGACCTCTTATGTATTTGTATTGACAGAACATATTTATTACTGCAACTTTAACAGCCTTTTCCTCTCAGTGTGGCTCTCTTCAGCATTACAGATGCCTGCTTTACAGAGTTTTGCTTTGCTTATTAGAAAAAGTGTATTTCTGATACTTGGTGTAGTAGCATTCATTATGTAAAATTACATTTAAAACACTGAATTCACTCTATTAAATATTTTAAACAATAACAGAGGACAGAGGTTTTTCTTAAATGACCAAGTCAAATATGCAAATCAAACGTTTATTACCATGAGACTAAAAACTGATTTGCAAAAACTAAACATTTCTTTCAGCAGTTTCACAACAACAATAATGAAACAGATAAAAACAAAAGCGCGAGCACCCTGCAGCTCAGCATGTAGCACCGACAGAATTAATCTGTTAAATCTTGATTTTCACTCCTGCATATGCCGTCAGACTTCTGAGCCATCGTCTGAAGACTCTCTGAATCCATTCTGTACCAGTGAAAGTGTCACTCGCTGCAACACAACCCCCAGTCACGCACCGCCCTACAGGCTGAGCGGAGGCATCTCCAGTGGTGAGGGAAAAAGTGTGTACTACTATAAGATAACAAGCGGTTGCTGGCAATAGCAACATGAAACTGGTTGCAAAGAGCTTTGTGGAAAACCTGCAGTTGCTTGTAGTTTGCACAGAAGATGCTGATTTGTCTCTAAATATTTTTACTTCTGCTCATCAAGTGTTTGCAGACAAGTGGGTGACCTCTGTACAAACATCAGGCAACCCTGTGATCCTCTATGGGACCAGCCAATCACTGCTGGACAGGGAAAGCATTTTTCCCTTGTTACTGGTAGTTGTGTGACAGGTCTGTGGGAGTGGGGCCTTAGCTGGGTGTACTTCTCAAGAACTTCCACACCGTTTTCCTGGTTTCATCAGGATTCTCATACTGAATTCTGTGGAGTGGATGCAGGGAAGATTAGTGGAGATTATAACCTCGCTCCTCCATATTTACCTGATCTCCATACGTACTCGCCCCCTCGTACACGCCGCTCTTCTTCAGCTTGTCTTCTGCTGTTCCACCTGCTCGCCTGACTACCACAGGAGCCTTTAGCTTCCACTGGATCTCTGGACTACAAACTCTCTCCCTACTTTTGAATCGCATCTTTAAACCCATCTATTCAGAATTGCATATCCTTCATCATGACTCTGTCTTCGTCTAATTTTACATTGTTTAGTTTTTGTACTTTCATGCTTGTTTTTATTTTTCATTTACCTTATGTTTTTATGTTGTTGTACTAACAACACAAAGACCTTGAGGGTCTTTAAAGGTGCCTGTGAATAAAATGTATTATTATTATTGTGTCAGTGAACAACAGATGATTGCACCTTTACTGGACACTGCAGAAACGTCCAAATGTTACTTCTGGTGTGTTGTTATAGCAAACCAAAAACAGGTTCCTGAGTATGCAGCTACCCAAACACAATCTGCCGTCTTCTTGTACTTTCTGCTGATTTTTGGAACAAAGTTTGGCGAGTATTGGTAAGAATATTCTCATCTTTCCTTCCGGCTGTGAACGAGCCATAGCGGTGAGATATTTTTACCAAGTTAACAATACAGAATAACAGAATCCTGACCCCGGTGTCTCACCTTTTTATGTAAATGTAGTTGTTTTAAAACCCTGAAGCCATAAAAGCAGCGCTATAATATTTCCGTCAATGAAGCAACGTGCCGCTTGATAGACACTTGAACTGAACCCCGACCTCTGGCACAGTTTGTTCCACCCATTGAGCTACGCAGATCCTTTCTTGATTTCTCGATGAGTCAACACACATTAACGCCTTCACACAGCTGTGCGGTGTTTTAGTATTTCTGCAGTTTGGCCAGGTTACAAACTGCTCAAAACCTCGACTGAAAGTCGGCTGTGAATTTGACTGGGCTGCTGATCATAATTACCGCTGGAAGAAAAGCTCGAAACCAGGGGAGAAAAGGAGCTGCCTCTGCTCGCTGCCTCTGCTCGCTCTGTCGTAAGCTATCGGAAGTGGAAGCCTGCCATCGAAACGAGCAGGGCACTGCATATGTTGCAATTTTCATCCACTTGTTAAACCAGGTAATTGAGTATCCACGTGAGAATCACCATTTCCCACTCATTGGCTGTCTTTATTGCATACGGAGCAAACAGTTTACACTGAACACACAACATCACGAAGGTCTCGAATGTGGAGCGAAGAGGAAGACAATCAGAGGCTCTGTGTGGCTGGAGGTTAATACACTTTAATATTAGTCACACGTGCTTTGAGCAGATAGGCTGCTGTGTTATTTGAAAGCGTTTGAAGCAGAACACATGTAACTGTTACCATGTAACTGTGTTATGGGTACAGATGATGTGGAGGAAAATTAGTTTCTGAATCATCATCGTACCACAAAGGAAAAGCGACTCCATTATGGCACATGCCGTTACACAGCACACAGCAAAGCCATTAAAAGGCTCTAATAGGTTTCTGTATTGAAGACAGTGGTGCAGCTTATTAAAATGTGCTGGGCTAACTTCACCCACTGATATAATGAACCAGTGATGATTGTTACTCCCTCTCTCACTCGCTCTCTTTCCTGCACACATTTTTCTTTAAAAAAAAAACAACAGAACTGAGTTATTGTGGTGATAACAGCTGAGTCAGGACCTTAGCCTCACTAACAAACACACAGCTGCAAACACAAACCCCTCTTACTCCAGCTTTTCTATTTTGCTTTTTAGATTAACCTCGCTGCACTCTGTGATGTCACAAGCTTAGCCAGCCAAGCTTTTACATGATACGACACCGTCAGTCATCATTCTGTGTGGAAGCTGGGCTCACTTTCACATCTTTATGGAGATCTCGAGTTTTTATTTTGTTCAATCTGACCGCTGAGCAGTTTTCTTTGATTTCATAGTAACTCTGCCGCCCTGGTTTTAACATGTCCTCAAACCACAACTGAAACACATACACAAATACAAAGTTTGTGTTTTCCTCCAACAATCAGATGTTTCTGAAAATGAACTGGGTGGCAGCTGACTGACAGCGGCAAATGTCAGGAGGAGATGGGCTACATGCAAATGTCATCAATGCATCAGGTAGATGACTGTAATCACTCCCTGATAAAAATGCCATCAGCAGGAAAAATAGCAAGTGAAATGTGAATTTTATTCAAACGGGTATTTGCTGCAAATAAAAGAGTTATCAGTTTTATATGGAAAAAATAGAAAAACATCAAGAATTCATCAAAGGCATTAAAGCTGATGTTATATTTATATTTACATTTATATTCTGGAACGTAAACGGCACTAATCCCGCAGCGTTAACGTGCGCACATTCACAACTGCTAAACTAGCGAGTGTCATCAGATCAAAACATCTTGAACAATCGAGCAATTATTTCCTCGATCGTGATCCACGCTTTGATGCAAAAAGCTGAATACAAGCATAATGTCCTAACAACACGTCCGTGATGTGAGTCAGCTGTGCCAGGCTCTGGGGACGGGGATCTGGTGAATGTGGAGGCCATGTGAGTACAGTCACGGTCATGTTCCAGGAACCAGTTTGAGACGGTTTGAGCTTCGTGGGGTGGTACGCTACGCTGTGGTCATGAAAGGATGGACGTGGACGACACTCAGGTAGGCTGCTGTGTTTGAACGATGCATCTTGAACACCATTACATCGGCCTGAACCACCGATACCGCTATTATGTTGCTTACAACAGTTCTGACCCTACCATGTGAATGCTGCAGCAGAAATCGAGACTCAATCTTCTATTGTCCAGTTTTGTTGATCCCCTGTGAACTGCAGCCTCAGTTTCCTGTTTGTAGCCCCTCAGTGGTCTGCTTCATATCAGCACTTTTATTTCTGTGCTTAATTGCTTTCTGTCTTACATTCACGCTCTGATGGATGCATCGGAAAACAGCTTGGGGTTAGTGTCTTGCCCAAGGATATTTGGCATAGAGACTGGAGCAGCCAGGGATTGAACCGCCAACCGTCCAATCAGATGACCTGTTTTACCTCCTGAGCAACGGCCGCTCCCAGTGCTCACTGGATAACTTCTGTTTTTTGGACGATTCCCTGTAAACTCTGGGGATGTTTTGTGGGAAAGTCCAAGGAGATCAGCAGTTTCTGAAAGACTCACAGCGGTCTGACCGACACAAACAGCCACACCACATTCAAAGTCTCTTAAATCTCCTTTTGTCCCCATTCTGATGCTCACTTTGAACTTCAGTGTCTACAAGCCCAAAAGAGCTGCTGCCAGCTGACTCAGAACCAGGTTACCCAATAAAGTGGCATTTTGTGATGACATCACTGAGGAAGTTGTGTTAGGCTTGAGGTGTTTGGATGTGCTGCACAAAATGCCTCTCGAACACTAATATGTACTCGTGTGTGAAAGGAGTTACAGAAGCTTACTGCGATGCAAAACACACAGTTAACTGGGACATGTACACAGCCATATGGATACACTCTCAAACACACAGCGATACAAGTCATTCATCTCCCCTCCAAAGACAGACAGACACCATCTACCAAATGGAGTCGATGGGTTAATTAAGTCTTGGAGGGGTTTGATATTTTTAGACGTCTAATTAATGAACGGAATGCCAGAGGACAGGCACAAGCTGTGGTGAGATTTGTTTAATTTAAATTTGCTGATAAAGAGGATAGATTCCAGGGTGTCTCCCTGTGAAGATA